TCATCATTATTATTCCCATTTTACAGATTAGGCAACTGAAACTCATAGACTTGCCCATGGCACACAACTAGTAAACTCCAAGTCCAGAACTATTTCAAGAAGCAGGCCATTCTATTTTTCTATAGTTATTTTTAGAAAATTATATTGAATCCAAATCGGCCTCCCTTTAATTTTTATCTATTTTTTCTTACTTCGGAATAAATTTAATCCCTCTTCCACATGACAGTACTTTTAAATATTTGGAAATAGCTTTTAAGTCAACTTCTTTAAGCTAAACATTCCTACTTTTTCAACTGTTTCTCATATGGAATGGTTCAATTCCTGTCATCATTCTCCTTGTCCTTCTGTACTCCTATTGGTTAGTGTTAATTTTGAAATAGAGTACCCAGGATTCTAGTCAATATTACTAATGTTTTCTAATGATACAGAGTAGCATTAGAACCCTTGCCTCTCTTCTTTCTGATTACTGTAAAGAGTACCACCACTCTTCCGGTCACCCAGCTTTGAAGCTTTGGTGTCATCCTCTTAATTGTCATCCCATATATCCAGTCATTTACCATATCTTGTTTATTCTGTATCCACAGTATCAACTCACTTTTGAAATATTGTAGTATCCTGCTAGTGACTCTGCTTGCCTCAGATCTATCCTCCATTCATCTGCCAAAGTGATTAACTAAAGTGTTGTCACCCCATGCCCTTCCTCCTTAAACTCCAATGGCTCCTGTTTTCTTGAGGACCAAATACAAAATCCTCTGTTTTGTGTTCAAAACCATTCATAACCTAGCACACCCTTCTGCCACCCGCTTTTCCACTCTTACACCTTACTCCATATCACTTGCTTTTTGATCCAGTAACACTGGCCTCCTTTCTGTTCTTTAAATCAGATACTCCATCTCTTGCTTCCAGGCATTTTCTCTGGCTGTCCCTCATGCCTGGAATATTCCTCTTCCTTATCTGTGCTTACTGGGTTCGCTGGTTTCTTTCAAATCCCAACTTCACAACCCCTCTTAATTTTAGTGCTTTCACTTTTTAAATCATTAGCTGTTTTCCCTGTATATAGCTTAATTGGACATATTTGTTTGTTGTCTCCACTACTAGATTGTAAGCTCCTTCAAGGTAAGGACTGTCTTGCCTCTAATTATTCCTGTAGTGCTTACCACAGTAGGCACTTGATAAATGTTTATGGATTGATTGACAATATCTTTCAAATAAATTTTTTCCTTTTTCCTCATAGAAGCACCACCTTAGTCCAGGCTGTCATCACCACTGCTGTAATAGCCTCCTAATTGGCTTCTCTGCCTCAAACTTTTCCTACTTTGAGCAGTTTTTTAATGTAGTTATCAAAATGATTTTCCTGAAGCATGCATCTGATCATGACACCCTACCCTGCTCAATAAACTCCAATAGCTCACTTATCTTTAGGATAAAATATAAATTCCTCTAACATTCAGAGGTTTTCACAGCTCTTACTACTTTTGCAGTCTTCTTAATACTTTACTGTACCCCTTGCACTCTGCTATACTGGCCTACTTGCTTATTTCCTGGAATTCATTCCCTCCTCTTCTCTGCCTCATGAAATTTCTGGTTTCATTCAAGACTTAAGACTTTCTTGAGGAAGCCTTTCCTGCACCGCCCTCACCCACCTCTCCAATGCTTCCCTAAGCTACCCTGTATTCATTTTGTATATATTCTGTCTCTGTTTTTAAGTGTGCAGATTGTCTCCCTATTGAGATCAGAGACATTCACTGTTGTCTATATAGTCATAACATTTAACATATTGCTTCACACATAGTAACTGCTTAATAAACTCATAAATGAATGATGGTGATTCAGATTTCTGTTAATTCATCCTTATATCCTGCTAGCTTTTTTTAATAGCCACAGTCAGCTTATTCACTGAATTTATAGTCACCTGTAAATTCTTTTACTTAGGTGAAATGAATTTCACCTAAGTGAATTGACCAGGGAACTACAATTTGTTTAGAACAACATTGTGCTTTATTACTTCTTCATTTATCTTGGGTTTCAGTTTCCTTTTAGTCCAGCTTGTTGTACTCTTTCCAGTCTGAAGAGAATTTCCTTGATAGAGAAGATAGAAATAAAAAAAGTCAACTAGTTCTGCTTCCTCTACTTTCTGTTAATATTACCCCATCTTCACCAATCAGCAGGCCTATTGTTGATTCTTTTTTTCTTTCTCTCACGTAAGTTTTTAAAAGCCTTTTAAAAAATCTTTCCTGGGAGCAGCGAGGTGGCCTAGTGGATAGAGCGCCAGCCCCAGAGTCAGGTGGACCTGAGTTCAAATCCAGCCTCAGACACCTGACACTTAATAGCTGTGTGATTCTGGGCAAGTCACTTAACCCCATTGCTTAGCCAAAAAAAAAAAATCTTCCCTAATATTTTTCAATCAAGCCTTAGCTTGTTCTGGATTTTAGCTTTGCTGATATTATTCTTCCAGATCTATGCCACTCTTTTGTATTCTCCCTGCCATATTTTATATATTTGCATATAACCTTCAAAAATCTGAATTCACTGTATTTCTTTTTAAAATCTTTGTAATAAGGGAAAGGCTGTCCGAGTAGGTAAGTAGGGAACGTTGTATTCAGAAACAAAATCTTATGATACCACATTTTAAAAAAGACAAATTTTTAAAAATGTATCAATAAAGACATAATCAATTTTTAAAAAAATAAAACTTGAACACCAGAGTGCTTTTATAGCTACCATTAATCTCTTCTTTTTCATTTAAATCATTTTCAAATTGTATTAGTTCATTTTGGGGAGACTCACATTCTTATTCAGCTGCATTTCCTTTTAGAGGTCCTGGTTATGGAATCACAGATTTGAATTCTGCTTTTTAAAAATCTAGGGCAAACTTGTGGCCATTCCTGGTGTTACCTCTTTAGATGGTGGTCAGTTTTCCTCAAGATTCCATTACTTGTACGTCACCAGCCAGACCCCCTTGTTTGTTCAAGTTGGTTCTAGAGTAACAATTCTCATTTAATATCTGAAAAATGGAGAGGAAGCACATGGTCATCAGGAACACTGAAAAGTTTTCAAATACTCTGTTATTAGAAGTAGACTTCTAGCAGCTACTTGTTGGTTAATAGGATCATAGGATTAGAACTGAAAGAAATCTCAAATGTCATCTATGTCTAGTCCAACACCTTCATTTTACAGATGAAAACACTGAAACCCACAAAGGAAAAGTGACTTGCCCAAGTTCACAGAAGTATCAGTGGAGCTAGGATTTGAATCCGGTTTCTCTGACTAAAAACCCAAGATTCAGTGTTCTCCTTTGATGCCAGTAGGTGGCATGCTATGCTATATTGCCCAGGGGCCACCCACAGTACTTTTTGATAAAAAATTCCAACTCTGGCCCTTGGACCGATCCCAGCCTCATCATCTTTCTATAGTTTATATTTAATAATTATAAACTACTTGGAGAGTGGGGTGGACACATGGAAGGAACACCAATATCTGCAATCTACTTTCCTGTTTTTGTGCAAGCACCCTGGTGTAATAGATTAAGTGATAAACTTAGAATACAGAACCTGAGTTTGAATTTCACTTCTGGAACTTAAAAGTTGTATAACAACATTTTGTGTGAAATTATGTGGCAAATCATTTAATCTCAAACTCAATTTCAGCATCTATAAAATGGGTATAACTATCTATAACATTTATTTCACAGGGTTGTTGCAAAGGTCAAATGAGATAACACAGCTTTGTAAACTTTTAAAAACCCTTAAACATGTTATGCTGCTGCTGTTCTACATGCATCCTTTTGGTCTGCAGATGGCAGCTATAAAATCTGGGTTAAGTACTTCAGTGACGGGATCACATTAAATCATGTTGCATGTGGTAGAAGCCTAAGTGTGCATAATTACAGATATTACTGCTTCTTTACACGTAGCCAGGCCTTCATGTTGAAGAGCTCAGAGTGTTTTATGTAAGCCATGCATCCAGATAGTACTCAAGAAGCCTTTGCACTGCAAGGGGGATGGGGGGAGAACGGTAGAGAAGCTAGAAGGGTAGAGAATTCAAGATAGGGGTGCACCCCCTGGTGGTTCTTCATGAGAATTTTGCATGGGGACCCAGAATCATTCATTGGAGAAAATTTTATAGTACCAGATTCACATATTCCATTAACTTAACAAACATGTAAGCAGTGCTGTCTTGGGAAGACCCAGGATTATAGAACCATTTCAACTAAGTCATACTAAAATGCCAATATTATATATTATTGCATATACAGTGGTGTATTTTAGTTAAGAATTTTCTGTAATTACTGCATCTGACCAGAAAGCAGGCAGCCTATTCACAACCTGTTGCTACTGTTACTCAGTGCTTTTCTCATTACCCAGATGTAAATCATGTTGTGCTTTCCCTTTCTGGCTTATGAATTTCTGTGTATATGTATATCTTCTTGATGGGAACTGACTTAGGCAGTGTCTGACACATTAAAATACTTGTTCATTGATTTCTTGATAAATACTGTTGCTTTGTTGACTTTATTATATCTGTCTCTTTTGAATATAATAAACCTTATTGCTGTATTTCAGTCATGAGTCTCATCCTAGTTTTGATATCTATGAGATTATATTTACTCAACCTTGTATTTAATATCAAGTTCATTTTGTGTATTTTAATGCTCTTTGCATTGGTATATAGATATACCTGAGGCTATAAGTGTTGTTCCTAATCTCTTCCTAATTTTCTCTTTTGAATTATTAGGTATATTATCTGCTGCTATTCTTGTCATATTCTAATATCCTGAGGCCCTCCATATAACTTTATTTTAATATTGTCATACCTATAAAATAGTTTAATGCATGAACCCCAATAATGATGCTTCAGCAAAACTTGTGTGATTATATTTTGAGTTTGTTGTTAATAGTTATAACTACTAGGCTATTTTTTCTGATTTTTTTCTATATTTTTGTTTAGTCTTAATGTATGTTGAAATGATATTTTCTCTGTGTGGTATTTTTAAAAAACAGATGATCAGCAAGCCTTGGATTCAATAATGCAAGATCTGGCTGTCCTCCATAAGGCCAGTCGACCAGCATTATCCCTACAGGAAACCAGAAAACCAAAATCTTCATCACCCAAAAAACAGGTATTTGTTTTCATAATATTATAAAACAAATAAGGTTGCTATGCAAATCATTTTAAATAGTTTTTTTGGTTTTGTTTGTTTTGTTTTTTTCTTTGGGGGGGGTTGGTATTTATTGTTTTAATGTGTGTAGTTTTTGTTTTGGTTTGTTTCTTCTTTGGAGATTGGCTCTCCTATCTTGCCCAACTTGAAAGTATAGCAGCCATTCACAGACCTGATACCAGTACTGATCAGCAACAAAATTTTAACCTGCTCCATTTTTCTGACCTGGGCTGGTTTGCCCCTCCTTAGGCAATTTGGTAGCCTTCCACTGACCAATATTGATATCAGACTTAGTACAGACACCTAATCAACTTTAGCCTTACTACCTCAGAACTCCTGACCTCAAGCAGTCCAGTAACCTCAGCTTCCCTAGCATTAAGGACTTCAGGTGTACACCACCACACCTAGTCCTTTGAGTAGTTTTAAAGGACATATGTAAAATAGTGTCCAGATATTTAATTCTAGTTAATTTAAGCTAAGCCCAAGTATATCCATTGATTTAAATCAAAATTTGCCCATTGATAATGTTTAGGCATTTTCCCCATGATATTTACTTCCTAAATAGACAGCAGGGTAGAAAATTGTTGTTTTGTTTTTAATGTCTTGAGTTTTATTTAATATGAAAATTTCTATTAAACCTAAATGTACTCTGAGGACAGTATTTTATTTTGTTTTATAATGTTTTTTAAAAGTCATTCAAGAAAAAAAAATTACTTTGTTTTAGCTAATTTATTTCAGGAAATTTATGCCTTACATATTTGATTGATTTAATTGTACAGTATCTAACAGAAAAGGAAAGAAGATAATATAAAATATTTTAGTGCTCTAAAACTAATGATGTATTATTTTATTGATGTTTATTTTTATCTAAGGAAAAATTAGAATTCTAATCAGAAGTCATAGCTAATTTCTGTTTATCCCTTAATGGTTTTCATTTATGTTTATAATTTGTCTTTTCATTATAGAATGATGTTCGAGTCAAATTTGAACATCGGGGTGAAAAAAGGTAAAGTAGAAAAAGATAAACCGTTTTAATGTGTTTCTTTTTCTTATTTAATGATTTAAGCACATCTTTTATGTGCCTCACTGAAGCCATTAATGATTTGTGGTTGTTGTCTAGTTGTTAACACTTTTGTCTGATTTTAATGTAGTCTCATGGCATAAAGGTGAAAATGTAATACTCTTTGATAACTTGTAGATAAAGTGTAGAACAGACATTTAAAACCCAGTCTCTTGAAATTTAAGGTCCAAATGATGTGTCTGTATAAAGATGGATGTTCATTTATTAATTGTCCTCTAATTTGATCAATATGTTATTTCTATTTTAGAATAGTCAAAAAATGTTAGGTAGACTCCACTGAGTTAGATGAAAAGCTCAAAATAATTGTGTTTTGAATGTTCAGTTCCTTTTTTGTTGTTCTAAATTAAAAAACAAAAGTTAGTATCCTATCTTTATATGAACCTTTCCAGTATGGTATTTGAAGACCATTGGTTGTTCAAGAACTTGAGGTAATTAATAACTAAATAGATATTAGGAAACGTATATCTAAACAGTTTACAAACTGAGAATTGTTTTCCATCAGATCAGAACTAGATTCAAAATCTTTTTGGTCATAAAGTTTCTTTAAACTGAATTATTAAAACAATCTGTATGAAATTCACTTTATCATTATTATTATTATCATTATTATTGTTATTATTATTATTATTATTATTATTACTTTAGAGAAAAGAAGGCAGATAACTTTTACTAGTTTTTTTTCTTTGGGTCATAAATTTGACATTTCAAATGTGAGGAAAGTACCAAAGTTAATAGGATATTAGACAGAATTTTGAAGCTGAGAGTTTCTTTTATTCTTACAGGGGAAAAAAATCTGCTTTATTGCTCTGTTTGCTAATTAAAGTAAGAAAATACAGTGTTAATTTTCCAAAATAGATATTCAAAATACTAATGTAGAGTTTATCATTCAAATTTGTTTCATGTGTTGAATAATTCAAGAGATGTGAGTGAAAAAATACTATGTTGGTTCAGTCCAATTGATTTAAATAGTATCCTTTTTTGAAAGACAGTTGGCATAGTGAGGTCCATTAAAACCATTCTGGGCCTTTTTTTTTTCCTCAAAGAGAATTCAACTCATAAAATTGGTTTGCACTGCATTTTTTATATACATAAAAAAATTTTTCCTGAAAATCACCGTTACTCCTGCTCAGTTAAAAATTCTGTCACTATATTTCAATAGTTGTATACTTTTACATTGTTTTTTAATGCCCACTTATTGATTTGTATGCTCATCAGACAAGAAAATATTGAAAGCAAAGTACATTTTAATTGAGGAAATGTGGGTGAACTATGCCTAATTTGAACTGCCAATTTGTTTAAACCAGCTGAATGTTTGCATATAGATTCTCTGAATTTTAAATCTGTTTAGTCATTTTTGGGTAGGGTGGAAGATGACATCCATACTTATGATTAGGGGTGACGAGCTACCTAGTATGAAAACCACCTCTACCAATGTATATCAATCGATAATTAATTGCAAGTTAGCCTAAGTTACCTGGGGCACTAAAAAGTTAAGTGAGTTCCCTGTGGGCACACATTCACACAACTAAGATGTATCAGAGGCAGGACTTGACTTCAGATGTTCCTGATTTCAAAGCCAGGTCTATGCAGCACTCTTTTAACCAGTATAGAACTATTATTGCAAGAGAAGATATCTTGCAAGGGATAGTTCACCTGTCATATTTATGGAGAACAGAAGAATTTATGACCAAACAGGAGATAGAGAACATTATGAAATGCAAAATGGATGATTTTGATTATATTAAATTGAAAAGGTTTTGCACAAACAAAGCCAATGCAGCCAAGATTAGGAGGGAAACAGAAAACTGGGAAAGAATTGTTACAACCAGTGTCTCTGATAAGGGCCTCATTTCTAACATATATAGAGAACTAAGTCAAATTTACAAGAGTTCAAGTCATTCCCCAATTGATAAATAGTCAAAGGATATGAACAGGCAGTTTTCAGATGAAGAAATTAAAGCTATCTGTAGTCATATGAAAAAATGTCCTAAGTCACTATTGATCAGAGAAATGCAAATCAAAACAACTCTGAGGTACCACATCACACCTATCAGATTGGCCAACATGAGAAAACAGGAAAATGATAATGTTGGAGAAGATGTGGGAAAATTGGAACGCTAATGCATTGTTGGTGGAGTTGTAAACTGATCCACCCATTTTCGAGAGCTATTTGGAATGATGCCCAATGGGCTATAAAAATGTGCATACCTTTTGACCCGGCAATACCACTTCTAGGGCTGTATCCCAAAGAGATTATAAAAATGGGAAAAGGACCCACATGTACAAAAATATTTATAGCAGCTCTTTCTGTGGTGGCCAAGAATTGGAAATTGAGGGGATGCTCATCATTTGGGGAATGGCTGAATAAGTTGTGGTATATGAATATAATGGAATACTATTGTACTATAAGAAATGATGAATAGGCAGACTTCAGAAAAACCTGGAAAGACTTGTATGGACTGATGCTGAGTAAAGTGAGCAGAACCAGGAGAACGTTGTACACAATAGCAGCCACATTATGCAGTGACTACTTTGATAGACTTCGCTGTTCTCAGCAATGCAAAGATCTCCAAAAGTGTCATGATGGAAAATGTTATCCATATCCAGGGAAAGAACTGTGGTGTTTGAATGCAGATCGAGGCATACTATTTGATCTTTTTTTTTCTTCTATTTTGTTTTGTTTCCTCTCTCTTGTGGTTCTTCCTGTTGGTTCTAATTTTTCCTTACAACATGACTAATGTGAAAATATGTTTAATAGGAGTATATGTAGGGCCTATATCAGATTGCGCACTGTCTTGGGGAGGGAAGTGGGGAAGAAGAGGGAGAAAAATTTAAAACTCAAAAGTGTATGGAAGTGATTGTTAAAAACTAAAAATAAATTAATTTAAAAAAAGAGTAGATCTTTAGATATTGGTCTTATAAGACCAATAAAAACCTTATCAATTTGTATCTTTACAGAATCCTTCAATTTCCCAGACCACTTAGATTAGAAGAGCTGAGTTCTAAAGCCAAAATTGCTTTTGGACAGTCTATGGATCTACATTATACCAATAATGAGGTAACATAAAGAACTTCTGTTTTCTATATTTAATACCTGTGGTAGGCAGTTAATAAATGTTGGATAAATAATTGAATAATTTTATGCTCTTCTTAAACTAGATGAGAGAGTGTTTCAGGCAGTACTGCTTTGCTTCTTAGTATTCAAAGAAGATAGTGTATATTAGATGCATAAGTAACCAAAATTAAATTTTGTACCTTTCTTTGCTTACATTTTAGTTTCTTTATATGTTTCTGATTTGTCAAAAGACTGGCAAAACCTGCAATGAAATTATATAATAATAAACCTTATGGAAAAATAATGAATTTTATATATTTATTAGAAAATTTTCCCTTTCTTTCTCATGTGACACAAGCCTCCAAACTTTCCACGTGAAGTTCTTATTCAGCTTTAGTAATAATATATTAGTCAGTGGAATTTATATAGATAAGATATATCTGTCTCTGTATCTCACAACTAAAACTTTCAGATCTTATTCTTAGCATTGGTTGAGATGTTATTTGATTATTCTGTCCAGTTTCTCAGTTTGGGCTTTAGATAATCAGAGAAGGAAGTCAATGAGTAAAAATTTTTAAGTACCAGCTATTTGCCAGGCATTGTGATAAGCACTGGGGGATGTAAAGGAAGGCAAAAGACAGTCCCTATTCTCAAGGAGCTCCCAGTCAAATGGCAGAGAAAAACTCAAATGACTTTGTACAAGTAAGACATATACAGGATAAATAGGAAATTGTCAATAGTTGGAAGCCATTAAAATTAAAGGGGATTATAAAAGATTTCCTATATAAGGTGAGATTTTGATTAGGACTTCAAGGAGGCTGAAAAACAGAGATGAGGAAAGAGAGCATTTCAGAAATAGGAGATAACTAGTGAAAATTCCTGGAGTAGGGAAATAGAGTTTCTCTTCTTGTTCAAAGAATAGCTAGGAGACTAATGTCATTGGATTGCAGAATGTATGGGGGACTATAAAGTGTAAGAAGACCGAAAGATAAAAAGTAGAGTGAAACAGGCTATAAAGGACTTAGAATGCCAAGTAGAAAATTTTACATTTGGTTGTGGAAGTGATGAGTTGCCAGTGGATTTTCTTGAGAAGGGGTTTGACATAGTCAGACCTGCACTTTGGAGTGATGAGAGATTTGTGGCAGGGAGACCAACCAGCAGATTATTGCAGTAGTCCAGGCATGAGGTAACGAAGGTGGTAGCAGTTTCAGAGAAGAGAAGGGGACATATATAAGATGTTACTAAGGTAAAAATCTGCTAGACTTGACAACAGATTGGATAGGAATGAGAGAGTGAGGAATTGAGGATCACAGCTAGGTTGTGAGCCTGGGTGACTAGGAGGAGGTTGGTGCCCTCAACAGTAATAGAGAAGTTGGGAAGAGGGAAGAGTTTAGGGGAGTGCAAGAATGATTTGTTTTAGACATGTTGAGTTTAATATGTCTATGGGTCATCCCATTCAAGATGTCCATTGGGCTATTGGAGACACAAATCTGAAGTTTGGGGCTGATAAGTAACTTTGAGTGTAGGGAGGATAATTGAATCCATGGAAGCTAATGAAATTTCAAAATGAAATAGTGTAGAAGGAGAAGTGAAGAGAGCCCAGGACAGAGCCCTGTCCTAGAACATGGACACTTCATTAACAACAGATTACTTCTTATCCTGTGTGATTCTTTTCATTGTCTTTCTCCAAATCTTCCATAGAAGATCTTTTCCATAGTACTAGAAGATTACTCTCATTCTTTTAATATTTCATGGCTACCGGTACTGCACTAAGGTTGTACACTTGATGTCTCTCACTCTTGCTACATGACTAGCCAAGCTCTTTTTCTGTACTTAGATATCTTTTGTACCACTTCTGGTTACATAAACCACCTTTGGTAATATTCTGCAGACTGATTACACCAAACCATGCTTCTTTTCATATGTACTGTTTTCATTGCTTTGATTCTGAAATTGTCATTTTCATGTTTAACAGTCATATATTATTATTGGGATGATCTCTCTCTCTCTCTCTGTATACCAATAACTGAGATCACTGAACAGTAAATATTATAGGATCTTATATTCTTTACAGCTCTCAAATCAGTTATATGACTGTTTTTAGATATGGTCTGTTGTAAAAGATTGTCTCCTAAAGCATACTTGTTTGTATTTGCATCAAGGATTTACTTGATACATGCACAGGCCAGTATCACAAAGATTTTATAGGGATAAGAAAGTAAGCATATGTGTTGGTAGATATTAGTGTTGTCTTAGTTGCCTCATTTGAGGTAATAATACTAGCTGTGATTTTTTTTCCATTCTATGAGAATTTTCTCCTTTGATATATATTAAAAATTAATCTTTCTTTAAGTTATTGCCTCTAGCATAGATTTTCTCTATATATTTGGTTAGGTCCAGCCACTGTGATTATATATTCAAATGTGACCTAAGAATCTAAAATTTTCATGTTTCACCATAAATAAAACCTTCTAGGAAACATTTCTATATTAAACTACATGTAGCAGAAAGCAATAATATTAATAATATTGTTACCCAGGGATATTGTGATGTATTATGGTATAAATATGTGATCTGTACACACTGTGGTTCTATCTTAAGTATTAGAAATATAATATACAGACTTCTGTATCTCTGGTATAAAAATGAGTCAAGATTATTTCCTTCTATCATATTAAGAAGAATTTTGTTCCTATAGGATAAATGGATAAATGTGTAAGAGATTTGCCATAGCATCCTTATATTGGTGTGACTTTTTAAAGCTTATGAAGCACTTTCCTCCCACCAGCTGTGGGAAGTGCAAATATTGTCATGTCCTTTTTATAACTAATAAACTAAGACTGAGAAGTAAAGTAACCTGACCAAGGCCCCATAGCTTAGAAGTGCCTGAGGCAGGATTCAAACCCACTCCTCTAATTCTAAGTTCAACACTTAATTTTACTATACCATCCTGCCTCTCATGTAGCTCTTACATATACCAATTAAAATTCATGTTTGGAATAAATTTGAAGATGAATTTGTAAATGTTTCTTTTTGAATCTTGGTATTATCTGCCAGTGTAATAACTCCATCATGGAAGAAAATGAGATTCATTTGTCATGACTTGTAGTTTCTTCCTTGATTTGTAAATGCTTACAATCTATCCATTTAATAATCCCCTATATTTTTGTTAGAGATTGATATCAAGTTCATCAATCTGTGGTTTCTAGAATCTGACTTAAGACTTTCCTGCTCCCATAAAAACTAGGACATTTTCTGCCTATTGTTTATGATTTATCAAAGACCACTGGCAGTATTTTAAAAATTATATTGGAAAATTCTTTTAGTACATTGGGAGTTAACTTAAACATGGACCTGAATACACAGACCCATTTAAAGTGGCTAGTGTTTTTTTAACATCTTTTTTCTTCCAGTTTTTCCAGTTTCTCGATGAAGAAAATAGAAACAATAGCATTTGAATTAGTTCTGTCTTTTCTGTTGTCTTTCAACATGTGTTTTTCCAAACTGAGGGCCTATTCTTTCTTTATTCTTGCCTCAAAGCTAGCCTTTTATTTTCCCTGTCATTTTTTATAAGACTTGGCTCTTTCTGGGCTTTAGCTTTCCTGATACTATTCTTTCAGGTTTCTTCCGTAAGATAGATTAAAGTAGTGTACATACAGAGGCTGGTAAGTAATTTAATTCTAGCAGTTGGTGGTTTGTTAGCTTACTTGTTGATCACAGCAGTTCTGTTATTAGTATCATAGGACCAGAGTTGTAAAAGAGTCTCTAGACTTTTTTAGGCCAACCTCAGCTTTCATTTTACAGTTGAGTAAACTGAGGCCTACAGCAGTTGAAGTGATTTGCCCAAAGTCTCTCAGGTAGGTAGTGGCAAAGCTAGAATTCAAACTTAGGTCATCTGATTAAATCCAATGTAACCTGGACCACCTAATGCCTGATTTCTCTCAGCCACTAGTGTCCTCCTCACTAAATACCTTGTATTTAACCATATTATTTTGTATTTACTCTATGTGTGTTGTTGGGTACATAAACACACACAAATAATGAATTATAAGTTTCTTGAGAGGATTGATCCACTATTTTTCTTTGTGTCACTAGTATATAACACAGTGCCTGGCCATGGTAGGCACTTAATAAATACTCATTTAATGATTGTTACAAAAACAGTTCATTGATCAGGATGGAAGTTGGATAAAAGTATTTATAGTTCTTGAAAAATCATCATCTCTACTAGAAAAGTAACTTAATTACATGCCCTAATGTCATAGATTAGTAGCATTCTAGTGTATGAAGGACTGAATTTTTGTGGATCTGATTCTTTTGTTAATAAAACCTAGCTTCCCTATTTGGGGCTGCCTATTTTAGCTAAAATAAAGTAAATTTTAAATAACAGACTTTAAAATAAATTTTGAATTTTAAAATAAAGTAAATGGAAGGAAACTTCCATTTATCCTGAACTGAAACAGCCAGTAATCTCAAATTGCCATTTTAATATTATTATGAAATAGTATAGAATAATAGATACTCATAATGAAAAACATAAGGCATAGCAATATCCAGAAATGTCTTCTGAACCAATAAATTTTTAATCACTAAACTACTGATTAAATTCAGTGGTTTTACTGTTAAATTTATTTCATAGAAATTCTTGCAAATATATTGGGAAAATATCAGCATTAAAAAAATTTTTTAATGCCCCTTTTAGTAGATAACCTTATTGAAACTTTTTCATGGACAATAGAACAGAAAACCTTTTTTTTTTTTAAACTAAGTAGAGACAGGAAAGGCTCTGCCCTTTGAGACTAGGTTCCATTTGCTGTGTGCTTATTTGATCAGTCAGTTCTATTCTAACATAACAGAGAAAACCTGTTTTCATGAATAAGATTGAAATGTTCTCAATAAGCAGGGAAGAAAAATATTCTGTGATTTATTTCGAATAATTTATACAAGCTGAGGATTGTTCTCTAGTCTACGGTCTAAGAGACCTTAGAACATAGGAGATAGTTTTGTTTTGTTCTTTTTAAACCAACTCTGCCACATCAGAAGTATGGGCATTTATCCAAACCACTACTCCAGGAACCTCTCCAGAATTGTCAGATATTCAAGTCAGCAAACTAGAGGCATTTAAATTAGTATTTAGTTACTGTACTTCAAGCTAGAGTTGTTTGGTTTTTTTCTAAGAGCAATAGTATCTTAGAGAAGTAAATAAACCTATTGTAAATAATTTTTTGGAAGAAGTCGATAATTCCTATTTCTTCCTTGTTGGAGGCTGCTTAATATGTAGAAAGAGAACTAACTTTGGAGTCAAAAGACCTGGTTTCAAATGTGACCTGGCTTGCCAGGTGCAGCCTTGGATAAGTCATTTAAGCTCCATGGGCCTCATTTTCCTCATTGGTAAAATAAGAGATTAGACTGGGTGGCCTCTGAGTTCCCTTTCAGCTCTAAATCTGTGGTTCTATGATTTTTGAATGAAAACGCTTAAAAAAGCTGCACAAAATATTTCCCATTTCTTTGAAGTATTTTTCCTGTGTTTAAAATGTCATCAGAGCATTAGGATTGAAAACCAAAAGAAACAACAGAACTGATGAATGTCTGTATAAAATGCTGTCCGATTTGGAAAGAAAATCGTGAAAATATTCCAATTAGAAAGGTCATTCAGTTATAGTATATCTTTCTTAGATGAAAATTGAAGTGTAGAGAAAAATTGCAAGTATAGTCAATTATAAAAATGTAATATGATCATATAAAGAAGTATCTCCAGATAATTAATTTTAACTGCTTTCTGACAGAATTGAAAGTAAGTAGTAAGCTGGAGTATCATGGTAATTATTTCACCATACTCACATGATTAATGTTGGAAAGTTCGGTAGAAATATCAGAAGTATCTAGATTTTTACTTTATTTTTTTCTTCCTAAGTATCTATACTGAGTGGCAAAAAATTCACTTTAAAAGAATTGTTTCACTCATTGTACTTGTATCCCTAGTGCCTAGCACCTAGTAGATGTTTAATAAATTATTGTTGATTGATTGAAGGCATGAGAGAATTTGAACTGTACCTCAGTGTGGCATCCTAACAATCAGATGAATTAACCTGCCAGTGTAGAAGCATCATGGTGACTGCTGTCTATTCCTAATTAAGATATCTTCTCTTTAAAACTTGTCTAGCTGGTGATTCCATTAACTACACAAGATGACTTGGACAAAGCTGTAGAACTATTAGATCGCAGCATTCACATGAAGAGTCTCAAGATACTACTTGTAACACATGGTCATATACAGGTATGTTTGCATACTTCATTCTAGGCCTTGATAATCAATTTCAATAAAGTTCTGCCGATGACATATAGTTAAGACAAGTACTATACAATTAGTGGTCACATCTGTAATATAATTGAATGTAAATTTGTTGTTAGTACGATTCTTATGATTACATATGTCCCAATTCTTAAAGAACATAGCAAAAATTAAAGACAAGAATGGTATATTTTAGGCATGAATCTTTTTTTTTCTAATGGCATTTAAGAAACAAGTAACATGAAGTAAGATTTGAAAGATTTACTGAGACATGTGTAGATGCTGAAGCATGTTCCAGATTGAGGCTACATGGGAACATTGAAGAAGAAATATGATGTGGTGGAAAGATTTTTGGATTTGGAGTCAGAAGAGCGGAGTTTAAGTTCCTTCTCTTCTACTTGCTAGCTCTGTGAAGTTGCGCAGATAACTTTTCTGAGGCCCAGTTCCCTTACCTGTGAAATGGGAATAATACTAGTTGTACTAATTACTTCACTGGTTTATGGTGTTAATGAAATGAGATATCTAAAATACTTTGTAAATTATAAAATGTTCTATTAATTTAAGCTATATAAATGTTAATATTTGTAGTTAAATAATTGAAAGATCAATTAGTGGTGGTACTTCCACATCCACTTACTAGATCTATAGACATTATGGATTTCTGTGACCAAAAATTTCAATACCTGGTGACCAACCTCCTAGTAATGATTATTATCCTATTAACTGTAGGAAGACCATTATCTAGGAGTAAATGGAAAATCTACTTTAGTCAGCAAATAATTTATTATGTACCTACAGTGTGCCAGGCACTGTGCTAATTAGATACAAAATAAAAAAAAATTCTCTGCTCAAGGAGCTCCCAGTCTAATGGGGTTGACAATATGTAAACAACTGTGTACAAATGAGCTGTTGACCAGAAAATCAGAGATAATCAAAAGAAGGAAGGCACTAGAATTAAGGGGGATCTGAAATGGCTTCCTGTAGAAGGTGGGATTTTAGTTGGAATTTGAGGAAAACCAGGAAACAGATATCCAGAAGGGGAGCATTCCAGGCGTAGGAGACAACCAGTAAAAATGCCTAGAGTAGAGAAATGGAATTTATTGTGCAAGGAACAGCAAGGACACCAGGGTCAGTAGATTGCAGAGTATGTGAGGTACTATAAAGTGTATGAAGACTGGGGGAGGAGATATGAAGGACTTTAAGAGCCAAACAGAGGATTTTATATTTGGTCCTGAGATGATGGGGCTAGATAGAAGAAAAACAAAAAGACTTCATATAGAATTTGTATAAACAGAATTGACTGTAGAAAACCCCTTTTTTGTGATCCTCAAAGGATGACTTTCATATAGCTTATTTCATAATTTAATGGTCACGTATGATGTTTTATTGTGTAATTTCAGTGGCAACATATAGAATAAAGTTATTGTACTCTGTAAGTCTGCATGGACAAGAAAGCAGATAATTTACCATGAGTAGATTGCCAGTGTTAGAGGAAGAAATAAAAAAGTTCTCAGAATAACAAAGTGGGTTATACTTGGAAGGAAATAAATATGTCCCCTTTGATAGAATAATATGGGAAAGTTTCATTTATTTTTCTTTTTTCAATTATTAGGCTGCTAACTTGGAGCCTTTGCCATCACTGGAAGATTTGGATAATACAGTATTTAGAGTAACAGAGATTAAAAAACGGCTTCCTGTGATAGGTAAGAACTCCCATTTACTGAGTACAGAATAGAGGTAGGTTTTGAGGGGTTTTTTCTAGGCTTTCAGGTAGGTATCATACAAAATTATCTTTGCTTAATAGGAATCTGCTTGTGGTTTCTTTCACCTTTCTTAGTAACCCTCTTCCTGTATGCAGTAGTTCTTCAAGAATGTATTTCAGAAGGGGCAGCTAGGGGGCACGGTGGATGGAGCACCAGCCCTGGATTCAGGAGGACCTGAGTTCAAATCCAGCCTCAGACACATAACACTTACTAGCTGTGTGACCCTGGGCAAGTCACTTAACCCCATTGCCTTGCCAAAAAAAAGCAAAAACAAAAGAATGTATTTCAGACAACAATAACAAAAAACCTGAATCCTGTTTAATTATAATGACCAACCAGCTTTGACCTAAAGAAGAGAGGAGAAAATGTATCTCCCTCCCTTCTTTGTAACTGTAGGTGTGGGATATTGCATAAATTGTGAAGACTCTGTTGATGTATTGGTTAGTTTTTTCAGAATGTCTTTTTTCCCTTCATTTTTATTCTTTGTTATAAGTTTTAATCTCCAAGGAAAGGGGTAAGAAGGGATATGTATAGAAAAATGAAGGTATAGTTTTTGTTATTGTTGACAAGTTGTGTCCAACTCTTTGTGACCCCATTTGGGGTTTTCTTAGCAAAGATGCTGGAGTGGTTTACCGGTTTCTTCTCCAGCTCATTTTACAGATGAGGAGATTAAGTCAAACAGAGTTACATAACTTAACTAGGGTCACACAAGGGTCTTTCAAGTATTACAAGGTTAGTAATCACCAGTGTTAATGGGTTTTTTTTCTACTATAGTTTCTTTATATTTGGCAAAATCTCAAAATTATTAATATCATGAAGAGGTTTACTTCTACAAAAAAAATCAATAACCTTAATTTAACAGATAAACTTAATTCTGCATTTTTAAACTAATTTTTTCAGTTTGTTAAGAACAAAGTAAAAATAAAAATTGCTAACTATTTCCAGGTAATTATTTATTTCTACTTAATTCAGTGCTTTTGCATCTTGTTTGCACTAATACATGTCAACTGAATATCAGTTGGAAGAAATATGGTTTCTCCCTACTGTTAAATAACTAAATCTTTTAAATAGGTAGTAGACAGTTTTATGCATGGATAATTATAAAAGGGAATGGAAAAATTTCAAGGATCTAGGGCTAATTAATAGTAATTGTGATGATGAAGACAATAATAATTTGTATTTATATAGCACTTGAAGATTTGCAAAGAACTTTATATTTACCTCATCTGATTTATTACATTTGTTTTTATCTCATTAGTTTTGGGTAGTGATTTATAATGGAGTTGAAATGATATTGTAATCCCAGAAATATTTTAATAAGTAGTAACCATATTTGTGGAGCATCAACATGTGAACTGTTATACAAAGTAAAAAAAATTGTCTCAACTCCTGACTTAGTCAGTTTTGAGAAAGGATTTAATGGAGAAAGAAAAGTAAAATTATGGATAAGTATAAATTACACAACTACTGAAAATAATGTAGAAGAACTCATAATTGATGAGACTTGGAAAAGGGAGCAGAAAACATAGATGGGAGAAAAAAATGCATGCCCCAATGAGAGAAGCATGGGGTTGAAGTCAGAATTCTGGCAAGAAGTAATCACTGAAGATTAACAAAGAAAACTGTGGAATAAAGTTTTAGAAACAGTAGGAAAGGGCTAAATTGTGCTGTTAACTATAAGAGTAGCTGTTGCTTCATAATTGATAGGCAGTTTTTGACTTTTGCATTTGTATTCCATAGCAACAAACATATACAGCCCCTGTCATTGCTGCTGGTTGATAAAGGATTGATAACTCCATTTCTTAGTAACATTTGTGAACACATCAGTTACATTTTTTTGTTTGTTTTAAAAGAGTTAATGTAAAAGGAACAGAAAAAATAATCATTGATGATAATTTTTATGCAAATATATCTTGATCTAATATTCAGTCATTAGAATCACAAGACACAACATGGTTTATAGTGAAAGGACCTGGATTCAAGTTTTGCCTCTCACATATGTTGGCTTTAACCTTCCAGTATCCAAGGCCACTCAGTTGCTGATCTGCATTAGTAGAGGGAGTTTCCTCACTGGAAGTTCCATACATAGATAAAATAACAGGTGTCAGCCAAACAAATCAAAGTTGATTCAGGAGACATGGGCCCAGATTCCAGCCATGATCATGAACAAATCACAAAATGTGAATTCTTTAGTTTCCTCATCTGTTCTGTTCACCTCAAGGAATTGTTAAGGATCAAGTAACAAACACACACACACACACACACAGACACACACACACGCTTGTGCACACGCACGTATATAAATGTGCTGTTACATTTGTATAAAACTAATGAATGATGAATTTCTTTGTCTTAAAATATATTAGTGCCAACTTAAACTTATCTCCAAACAATACAATTATATTAGTATGTATGAGCTAAATGTACTTAACTTGATCTTTAAATTGCTTAATATAGTCAAAATATAGGTTTAACTTATTTTATCTTCTAGGATGATGAATTCACTCCATTGGATTTCAATACCAGTATGAGACAAAGTTAAAACTATATGAATATAAGACATTTGGTCTTAGAGGAAAGCCCTAGGCTTTGAATGCCTTTGTTATGGCCGTGGTTGTTCGGCCTGGTGTCTATTTAATTTTTTTTGTTTTTTAAGAAAACTTTTCTGGAGTAGAAGGTATGCCAGTATGAAATATCAAGAAGTAATTGGCATACTACTAACAAAAACTGGGAAAATAATGTTCTCCCAAAATGCCTAAGTGGCACAGTAGATGGAGTGCTGGTCCTGGAGTCAGGTCAAGTAGACCTGAGTTCAGATCCAGTTTTAGATACTTTCTAGCTGTGTAACCCTGGGCAAGTCACTTAACTCCTATTTGCCTCAGTGTCCTCATTTATAAAATGGGGGTAATAAAAATAGCACCTGCATTCCAGGATTGTTGTGAAGATCGAATGAAATAATCATGTTAAAGCACTTAGCACAGTACCTGTCACATAGTACATGATACACACACACAGAATTTTGTTGATTGGTCATGTCCAACTCTTGGTAACTCAGTTTGGGGTTTTCTTGGCAAAGATACTAGAATGGTTTGCCATTTTCTTCTCCAGCTCATTTTACAGATGAAGAAACAGGCAAACAGGGTTACACAACTAGTAAGGGTCTGAGGATAGATTTGAACTCAGGTCCTCCTGACTCCAGAGCTTTCACTCTATCCACTACGCTACACCACATAGCTGCCATATATGTGTAGTATATGGATATATACACATATATTTGTGTGTATATATACACACAACATATACATATTAACTATTATTAGCTAGCTGTTCTTCCCAGCTTTTGTTCCTAACTTTTCACACCAAGAATGTATTGGCATTTCTCTTACATGACAGTCATCCTCTCTGTCTAATCCTCAACCTTTCCGTATTTATGTTTTCTTTTCCTACTGCCTGCAGATATATTCAAGTCTCTCCTATCTTTTAAGAAAACACATTCATCAGACCCTACCATTCCCTCAGGCTGTTGTCTAGGAAGCCACACTCTTGGAAAAAGCTGTCTGCATTCATTGCTTCCACTTACTTTCCTCACATTCCTTCTTCAGACCTTTACAATATGACTTGTGACTTTATCACTCAATTAAAATTGCTTTCTCCAAAGTTAATCAATAATCTCTTCATTGCCAAAGTTCATGACATTTTCTCAGATCTCAGTTGCTTAACTTCTCTGCAGCATTTGACACTGTTGACTACTCTTTTTCCTCTCTGGCTTTCCTTAAAACCACTCTCTCCTGGTTCTCCTTCCTGTCTGATCACTCTTTCATGATTCATTATCCTTATCGTGCTCCTACCTCTCTCCCCTTCACAACCTGACCTCAGCCTATATTTCTTGTTATGTTATACATTCTTCCCCTTCCTATAATCTGTTGTTCAGGCAAATTGACCTTCTTCCTGTTCCCTTACACAGGGCACTCCGTCTCCTAACACCATGACTTTGCAGGGGCTATCTCCCATACCTGGAATATATTCCCTCTTCACCATTGTATGTAGGATAAAACACATAATCCATAGGCTATCACTTAAGTACTTGTCCAATCTACCTCTAACAACTAATGGTAATCTATGCCACCACCTCTTGAATAAGAGGTGATGCATTTGAGATGCAGACTGACATACCACTTTGAATGTAGATAGTGCATGACCATGGGAGAAAATAAATTCATTCTAGTTTAAAAATTGGGGTCATGAAGAATCAGACGTGACTGAACAACAACAAAAAATTAAAAATAAAGTAATGACTATCTAGTTCTGACCTATGTTTCTAGCATCATTTTATACTGCTTCCCTTCACAAACTCAATTTCAGGCAAACTAGACTACACACATTCTCAGAGCTTAATACTCTGTCTCCTTCTTGTCCCTGTGAATTTACATGTAATTCTTCATTGCTGAAATGCACTTTCTTCTCATTGCTGCCTTTTAGAATTCTTGGCGATGTTCAAGGTTTATCTCTTCCATTGAAACCTTCCCCAATACTCCCAGTTAATAGTGTTCTCTCCCATCTCAATTTTCCTTTTATTATACACATATGTATACATGTTACATCTCCCAGATCTCCTTGAGTTCAGGTACTATTTTGGTTTTGTCATTCTGTCCTCCCTTGAATAATGCTTTACCCGTTCAATTCATTTAAGCTTGACTCTCTTTAGAGAAATCCCCAGAAGTAATTGTATCTTTTAGGGTTCACCATATTTCAGCTTTCAGCTTTGCAAATTCAGAAAGATGTGGTAAGGAGTTGGTAGATTGATTCATAGAAAGCAAAACTCAGAATAGACTGATTTATAAACTAAGTTGCTAATTCATTTATAATGGGAAATATGTCTAGGATAAAGGCTGATTCTGGTTATCCATCCATCCTTATAGCTGGGCCTCTCAAGAAATCATATTACAGATCAGAAAGTTGTTTTTTGTTTTTGTTTGTTTTGATAAATAATTATAGCAAGGAGAGAGCTATGTTCTTCAGGAACATATTTAAAAAATAAATTCTGATATTACTTGTTTCTTATACTACCTACATTTCCTAATATTATACTTCTCTTTGCCCTCCCCACTCCCCTGACACTCCTTAAATCAGGGCTTCTTAAACTTTTTTTGGTTTCATGGAGCCCTGTGGCAGTTTGCTGAAACTTATGGACTCTTCAGGCTAATGTTTTTAAATGGAAAACAATTACTGAAATGCAGTTATAAACTTTTTGTTTTAAAAAACAAGTTCACAGACCCCCAAGTTAAGAACCTTTAATCTATAGGAACCCAAATGTTGGAGATAATTTATATTTTGCCAGTGATTGACAACTTGAAATATTTAAAAATCTATTAGTATAAGTTAATTAAAGTATTCAAGCTATGGTTTGAAAATCTTTGTTAAAATAGAATATAAATAAATTTATTTACTGATAATTATATGTTCAGTATTTTAGTGCCTTTTTTTTTTTCAATTTAAAGTTCCTACTACCAGAGATAGAAGTTCACCTCCCCCTGGTTACATTCCAGATGAACTACATCAGGTTGCTAGAAATGGGTCATTTACTAGTATCAACAGTGAAGGAGAGTTTATTCCAGAAAGCATGGACCAAGTAAGTAAATTAATTGTATGATGGGGGGGGGGGCTGTCAAGATCATGGAACCTTTATTAACAAAGGTTTGCCAGGTACCTGATATATATCTTATTTTGACCTACATAATCTGTAATAACTTTCTTCTCTAGTAGGTTGAACAGAGCAACTCCTGTTGTTCACTAAGTTGGGACTAGTGTTTTACTTTATGTGCAGGTGTTTGTTTTTGTATAGAAAAATCTAGCTTCTCAGTGTTTTTTATTTAAAAAAATTATATCTGCTAATTCAGAGATCATCAGTGGTTTTATATGTGTTTCAGAGGGAAAAAGGGGAAGGCTAATAGAGTGATTATAATTTTCTGCTGTAACTCTGTGACATAGGAATTTGAGGGCTTTAAAAACTTTATTAATATTTTTAAAATATTGCCATTTTGAGGTATTAAAATGGAATACTTCTCTTTATGGAAACATAAACATAGTGACTTATCTGGAGAAACTAATTTTAAGCCTGACATCCAGAAACTTCTCCTTCAACATTATAGTGATATTCCATTTCTAGATGTTGGATCCACTCTCATTGAGCAGTCCTGAAAATTCTGGCTCAGGAAGCTGTCCATCACTTGATAGCCCTCTGGATGGGTAAGGCTCTGAGTGCTTATCTATGGTAGATATTCAGAGAGATATGGGTGGCAGTGAAGGTAAATAAGAATATTATATTCTTAAGCTTAACTTTAGCAAGTCACTTAGGTTCTTTGGGTCTTCATCTTTAAAAATTGTTGGACATCCATTTCATCAAATTCCTTTCAATGCTGAATACCTAAGTACCTTTTATTTTCCAAAATGTGTTTAAAACAGCTTAAACTGAGAACTGAAGCCTATTTATGTTTCAGTTTTAGTTTTTTTATATGCTATTTTTAAAATATATAGGATTTTTAATCTGCCTGCTTCCAAAAACTCTTTAAAGTAGCATATAAAATTAACACTTTAAATGAAATAATAAAAGGAACAAAAACTAGTTAAAAGGAACAGAGAAGTAATGTTGCAAATCAACAAGGGTACGTAGACTACCTTAATATCTAGCACTGAATTTAGCTCTGAGTTTCCTGGAAGCTAAGGCAAAGAGGAAAACCCAAAAGTTAATCTGGAGAGACAGACTTTTGCAGGCACTGAATTCAAGGAAGAATTATAATGTGTTTTTATAAAAGTAAGAGGCTTTGGGTAGCAGCAAAATTTGTAACATCCTTAATTCTGATTTATTTTGTGAAGCACAAAAAAGTTTTTCAAAGGATTGTTTCTTAAAGTGACTATAACAATTAAACTAAAGGAATAATTTTAAATCTTAATTCATCAATAAAGGCAAATCCACAGACATCAAGCATGTACTGCTAAATAAACTAGGTGCCCAAGAGAGAGAAAAAATTTTACACTTAAGGAAAACAAGGTTAAGTAACTTGCCAGTTGTCACATATCTCGGAAGTATCTGTGGTAGGACTCAAATTCAGGTCTTCTGACTACAAGTTCATTCTGTCTCACCAAATCATAAGCATAAGAAAAGAGACCAAAATAATTGGAGAAATATTCGATTTTTAAGGGTAGTTCAAACCAGTGTAATGGAAATGGCAATACTATCAAAATTAATTTTCATAGTGCCATACCAATTAAACTAAAAAAGTCTTGCTTTATAGAGCTAGAAAAAGTTAATAACAAAATTCATCTGAAAGAACAAAAGATCAAGAATCTCAAGGGAAAGAATGAAAAAAAGTAGAACAAAAGGGGGCCTAGCAGTACCAGATCTTAAACTACACCACATAGCGTTTTCATCAAAACGATTTTGTACCGGTTCAAAAATAGGGAGGTTGACCAATGAAAAAGATGAAGTACACAACATATAGAAGCTTATGAACTTAGTCTAGTGTTTAGTAAACACAGAGACCCTAGCAACTGGAGTAAGGACTCAGTAGTCAACAAAAATTTCTGGAAAAATTTAAAAGCAGCCTGGCATAAATTAGATTTAGACCAACACTTAATACCATATAACAATAAAAGTTCCAACTGGTTTTAGGAACTAGATTTGAAAGGTCACACCAAGCATAAGAAATATTCTGTCAGTAGTATGAAGGGTGATTGATAGTGGGAGTGAATAAGACCATGAAGACCTGGTGGGAATTATATTATTATAATAGTCTAGGCAGGTGATGGATGGGTAGATTTTTAGGGGAAATAAAGTAAAACAGGACCAAGGACAGAATCTTGGGGAAAACCCACATTAAGGTATCAGGAAGAGGATGAAAAATCAGAGAGGAGTGGAGAAGGGAAGAGAGAACCAGTAGAGTGATGTTTCTGAAATAAAGGGGGGAAAGAATCTATTAGTAAAGGGTAGTGGTGAATGGTGTCAGACATTCAGTGAGATGAAGAGTGAAAACAGGCCATTAGATTAGTAATTAGGAGGTCAGATTAGTCTTAGCAGAGCAGAGGGAGCAAAAGTTAGATTGTAAGGAATGAGTATAAGGAGGAATGCAGAAGTATCAAATGTAGAAAATGATTTTAAGTTGCTTAGCAGTGAAGGGGAGGAGAGAGTGAGAACATTAACTTGATGTTGACATCCTTAGGCAGATAACTCCTAAACCTTTATATACAACTCTAACCTCTTGTTAACATCCACTTCCATGTCATCACCTGCCTACTAGACATCTATCTATACTTAGATATCACATAGGTATCTCAAACCAAGTTTTCTAAAACTCTTCCATATTACCTTAATTTATTTTGATGGCACCACCATCTTCCCAGGCATCTGGGTTTGTAGCCTCAAAGTTGTCCAAGACTTTTCCTTCTCCTCTTTCACCTCTACCTTCTAATCAGTTGCTAAGTCCTATCAGTTTTACCTTCACAGTATTTCTCAAATCTGTCTCATTGCCACCACCCTAGTTTAGGCTTTCATTACCTCTTAGACTATTATGATAATATTCTTAATTGGTCTCCCTTGTTCCATTATCTTCCCTTTCCAGTTAGTATTCTACACACTTCCAAATAATCTTCCCAATGTGCAAGTCTGCCCATTTCCCCTCCTTAAAAAATCAGTGGCTTACTGTTTGCTTCCAGGATAAATTACAGACTCCTCAACCTGGCATGTAAACCCTCCACAATATGACTCCAGCCCACCTTTTTATCCTTTATATTACTCTTTCATGTGCTTTACATTCCAGCCAAATTTATTGTCAGGTAGTGCCAGAATTCAGCATTCCTTCTTTCACCTCTGCATTCACAGAAACTATCCCACTTGCTTGAAATGCACTCCTTTTCATTGTTGCCTTTCCAAATCTTTGTCATCTTTTAAAACTCAGCTCAACTACCACCTACTCCATTAAGCCTATGCAATCCTCCTTCCCTTCACCAGTTATTAGTACTGTTTTTATCCTCAAATTACCTTGTGTTTATTACTCATGTGTCTTTGTGAGAATGTATATTATATTACCTTAGCAGAATCTCAGCCCATTGAGAGTAGTAACATTTATTTTTGTCTTTGTCTCTTCAGTATAATAATTGCTCAGGCAGTGAGTGAAATTGTTTATCATATATGGAGAAAGAAGAGAAGGGTGACAGACAGTACCTTGAGTAATTGTTATTTGACTTGAATAATAGTAATTTTAAAGACTTAAGGAGAAAAGAAGGAGCCATCTAAGGCTACAGAGGAAAAGTTAGAGAATTAGGAGTAAAGCCAGAAGAGTATGATGTCTGGGAAGCCTAGGGAAGAAAGGATAGCCAGGGAGAGATGGGGTGATAAGTGTCGGATGTTGCAAAAAGGTCAGAGAGGGGAGCCACTGAAAACTGACGTTTTATATAGCAAGTTAGAAAATGATTGTTGTATTTTGAGAAAGTCAATATAGTGGATAGGGACAGATGCCAGGACACAAGGAATTGAGGTGAGATACAAACATCTTTAAATCATTTGCTGTACCCTAATGATAGTATCTACAACCAAGTATGGATGATGTGACAAGTACAAATATATAGTACTTCGGTGAACTATGATTTCATCCATGTGTACTTCATGGGTACACATTGCAATCATCCATACTTTCTTAGGCTGTTATTCTTGTTCATGCCTTCATGTTAGCCCTCTATAGAGGACATTAAACTTATCAGAAGGCTTTTTTTTTTGCTACTTCTTATCAAAAAAATTTATTTGCAAGTAAATAAACAATGTTTTGGAAAAAATAAACCCTCAAAACAGATTTTTGTCTACTTTCAAAAAGAAAAAAATAAGGACACCCCCAAAGTATTTACAGAATTGTACAGACAAAAGTCAAATTGGAAAACATTCTTTCTGTGATGATTTAGAAAAGACCCACCCCTGCTTCTGATGCACATTTCTGAACTCAAGAACTGTACAAGTTCATTTCCCACAGTTTAGCATAATGCCCATTCTGGCTTTTGATGTTAAACCCCCCAAAAGATAAGAATCCAACCCCAAGGTAAAAATAAAGACAAAATAACAGCCCCTCCCCAATCTAAGAGAACGAATACCCTTGCATTATGAACAAGTATCTCCTTTACTGTGGCATCTACAAGAAGTGATTTAGTCATGGATATTGCATGACTCATGGGCTCCCTGAAAAAGTTTGTTCTACCTGGAGTTCATGATATTGCTGTATTGTATTTTCTGACTTGGACCTTAGGAAGGAAAATCCTGTCAGTATAAAACCAACATCCTTGATACTTGTTGTGGCAAGTATTACCCTGCTTCATGTTTCCCTCTCAAATACTTTGCTTTAAAAACACATTGATTTTTTTGGATCATTTGAAATCCTCATGTGCACTGGAGCAACTTATTATTTTGACTAACCGTTCCAGAGGCCTTTCTTTAAATCTTTTAGCACATTGTTTATACTAGAGCAGTAGTTGGGCTATCTCTCTGTTATACCTTTTTTCAAATGTTACTTTTCATTTTCTGGATATACTCTTTTCCTTTCATTTGTGCTTGCTGTTTCCTATCTCAAAGAATTTTTCAAATTTAAAATCAAAATAGAATACAATCATTAAAAAAAAAACCAAGATAAAAGCTGTTAGCAGTTGCCCTGGAACAGCTAAGCTGAAGTAGGATTTCCTCAGTGTCTTTGAGGAGAGAAGGTTTAAGTGTCTAGTTTGCAGGTTAAGGACTCCAGGAAGAGAGCCCTTTGGCTGGTGCCAAGGATTTGGCAGTAGACCAGAGATTTGCCCTTTACATACCTGAGAAAGGAGAGACTAACTATCCAGTCGGCACAAGGTTCTCCTTACTTTTGAGACAGCGGTAGGCAGTAATAGCAGGTGCCAAAATACAGTACTCTCAAACTTATAAATATTTTTATTTGTTTAAGTATTTCTTACCTGCTAAATCCGTTGATCATTCTTAGTCCTCATACAAATTGACTTCTCTGCAGCTTTTGATGATACCAACTATCATCTCTTTCCTTCACTTCTATGAAGCTATTCCATCCTGATTTTCCTTTTACCTGTCTGATTACTCTTTAAACTCCTTTAATGGCCTATTCCCTCAAATATGAGTATCCCACAGGACCGTACCCTGGTCTTCTCAAAGCTGTCTTGGTGGTTTCATCAGCTTCCATGAATTCAGTTAACTTTACACAAATGACTCCTAAAATATATATCCAGCATAAACTCCCCTGACTTCCAGCCTCATATCACCAACTACCTGTTAGGCGTACATCTGTACCTAGATATCCTGCTGACATCTCAGATTCATCTAAACTTACCCCTCCAAATCCTTCCAGTCACCTATATTTGCCACTTCAGTTTCATTTTTGGCTCTTTCATTCTCTTTTCCCTAATTCCAGTCACCATAGCCAGTTGCCATATCTTGTGGATTTTACTACTTATACCATCTCTTACATCAGACAGTCAACTTTAGTTGTCTTGATAGACAAAGCCTTTGCCTCTAAACTACCCTACTATTAGGATACTCCTTCTTTAATGCCACACCCCATTGTGTTGTCTCATATATAGAAAGTTTATGAGCGGAATTTTAGGGGCAGTTCCAATAATTTTAATATTTTGGATTCCAGTATTGCTCATTAAAATTTGTATTTGCCATTACTAATTTTTTTTGTATATTACATTTTACATTTATAGTGACAGCTATCCCAAAACTCGAATGCCAAGAGCACAGAGCTATCCAGATAATCATCAGGAATTTACAGGTTAGATTATATGATTCCAGATACTAAAATTTATTTTACTTTATATTTAAGCTGGCTTTTTTATGTAAATGGAAAAATATTAAGGAAAATTTTTAAATTTGCAAAATGCTTTTTTTCAATGGGAAACAGTTTATAAAGTACATTCTGTTTAAGTTATGCCTATTTATGAAACTATTTATCCAAACTTAATGGGAGAAAGGACTATTGAAAGATAATGCAGAGAAATTAGGATGTTTTGCTGTCCTTATATATAGGGGAAGACTTTCTGAGGTGTGTTTTGGACTAATTTTTTAATATCTAGATTGTGGTATGTATATGCATGTGTATGACTCCCTAGAAAATGTCTAAGCTAAATTGATGCCATGTAGAAAGTTGTGTTATTTTGTAAGGTAAAAATAACATACTCTGTTAGGTGTGGGGTTTTCAGGTTTGTTTGTTTTGCTTTTTTTGGTGAGGCAGTCGGGGTTAAGTGAAGATTACTTTTTTTAAAAAGATTTTTTTTAAAGATTACGTTTTTCTGTCAGATTATGATAATCCTATCTTTGAGAAATTTGGAAAAGGAGGTACTTATCCAAGAAGATATCATGTATCATATCACCATCCAGACTATAATGATGGTAAGTTTCTTGGCATTTTGAATTCAGAATCTATAGCAAAATTCCATTTTTAATGCTGCTAGAAATGCTTTTTTTCCCAAAAAAATGAAAGCTAAATTCTTAAGGAAGATTTGAGTAAGCTTTTCTTTCATTTTAAAATTGAGATTTTTATCCAGATTCATTGCTAATAATTATTCAGATAAGATAGTGTTTTTCCAAATAAATTGCTAGTTTCTAGTTTTTCTTAAAAATTCATTTTTACCAATTAACATTGTCCTTAGGCATTTGGTTTTGTAACTTTCCCAAAAAGTATATGAAATTGGCTAATAGCTTAACATGAAATCTACTTAACAATACCTTCATAACAAAAGCCATTCTTATCTCACAGTGGCCTTTGGTTTCTGTTGTCTGTCTACTTCTCTCATCCATTTCTGCTTCCACCTATTCTCTTCCCTAGTTTCCTTATTTTTGTTTTATAATGTTCTGTGTCACAAATATATAACCTTAAATTAATTCTTTGTAGGAAACCTAATAGAATGTAGTTATATGACTGCTAATGTTAACGTTACCTGGTTTGGACACAGAAAAAACTTGCATTATTCCTTCGACTACAAATTTTAAATGATTTAAAATCTAGCACCATTAATAAGTTATAATGTAATTTTTAAAATTATTTTATAGGTCGAAAGACTTTTCCAAGGGCCAGAAGGACTCAAGGGAACAGCTTCCGTTCTCCAGTCAGTTTCAGTCCTACTGATCGTTCATTAAGTACCAGTAGTGGAAGCAGCATCTTTACTCCAGAGTATGAGGATAGTAGAATAAGAAGGGGAAGTGATATAGAGAACCCCACTCTGACTGTAATGGACATAAGCCCACCCAGCCGTTGTAAGTAGTAGTAATTGGTACACTAAAATTTTTAGTAGAAACTTCAAGATTTTAAAGTTGTGAATGTCTTACCAGTAATTGGCATGAAACTACTTCCCTCAAAGCTATATGTTCTTAACCTGAGGCCAAGGAATAGTCTCTCAAGGTAGTGGAAGATGGGAGCATCAGCATGGTACCACTGCCAGTTACTCTGGGAGATTCTACTCTGCTGCTCTGTTATTTTAATGAGGAAAGTGTCGCGGTCAATTGTGTAAAAATTAATAGAAAATTTACTAAGATTTCTTTCATTGATCATTTATAAATATGTTGCCTTTTCTTTCTTTGTAGTCCAACCATATAATTGTAATTCTGTTTTTTTAATTAGTTTTTATTGGAATCTTTTCTTTTTATACACCATCATAATTTCTCCCACTGTTCTTCCTCTTCTCTCCCAGAGAACCATCCCGTATAATAAACAATATTTTAAAAGATTTTTTTCTTAGGCAGTTGGAGTTAAGTGACTTGCCCAGGGTCACACAGCTAGTAAGTATCAAGTGTTTGGTCTGAGGTCACATTTGAACTCAGGTCCTCCTGACTTCAGAGCCAGTGCTCTATCCACTGCGCCACTTAGCTGCCCCTAAAAGATTTTTTTAAAAGAAAAAGAGGGAGGAAATCAGCATAACTGATTAATATATCCAAAAAAAAATGTAAGCAATATACAATACTTATGGACCTCCCACCTTTGAAAGGGGTGGGAGTGGGGAGAAAATGTCTTCTTCTATCTTTTCTTTTGAGCCATGCTTGTTCTTTATAATTTTGCAGCATTCATTTTTGCCTTTTATGATTGTTCTTACTGTTTACATTGCTGCCATTATTGTGTTTATTTCTTGGCTTTGGTCTGTAGCAGTTCATGTAGATCTCTACATGCTTCTCTATATTCATCACATGACTCATTTCTTATAGTGGGGTAATATTCCATTACATTCAGGTACCATGATTTCTTTAGCCATTCCCCAGTAAATGGATATCTACTTTGTTTCCAATTCTTTGCTATCACAAAAATTGCTACTAAAAAGATTTTGGTATATATGAAGACTTTCCTCATCAATAGCCTTCTTGGGGTATAAAGCTAGTAATGGAATCTCTGAGTCTAAAGGGATATTTTAGTCACTTTATTTACATAATTACAAATTGTTTTCCAAAATGGTTGTACTGATTCAAAGCTCTGCCAGCAATGCACTGTTTGTCTTTCTACAACCTCTTCAACGTTGACTATTCCCATCTTTTGTTACCTTTGCCAGTTTGCAGAATGTAAAGTAAAGCCTCAAGGTTGTTTTTATTTGCATTTCTCCTTTAGTGGTTTGCTGCATTTTTTACATGGTTGTTAATAGTTTGCAGTTTTTCTTTTGAAAACTATTCATATCCTTTGATGCTTTTGAGTGGCTTTTTGGCCTTTAAATATTTTAGATATCACAATCATATCAGAGAAATTTGATACAAAATGTTTCCCCCCCATTCAACCACTTCCCTTCTTATTCTAGATACATTAATTTTGTTTGTACAGAAGCTCAGTTGTTATTCTCTAAGTATAATTTCAGCTCGGCCGCTGGCAGGGAGAATTTCCTTTTTCCGGGCCACGTGCTCTGTCCACTTCTCCACCTAGCTCCTTCATTAAGGTTCATTTGTGTACTTGCATGTAGGTTTTCTAAGCTTCAAGTGCCATTGTTAGAAGTTTGAATTTTTTTTCCAGTAATCCAAATAGAAATTCGTAGATGGATTTTATAGAGAAGCCTTAACCAATTTAGGTCTCTATATCTAGTGTCCTGGGTTGTGAGGATATTCTTGCTAAATTTATCTTATAATGAAAAGAGTATGGTGTTTGGCTCTCTTGTGAATGTTATGGAAAACACTTGGCCTTCATTGCAAAGTAGTGATATAATATAAATAGTTCAAATCATAGAGTTTATTTTACTTCATTTATATTTAAAGTTTAGTACTTCAAAGCCCTAAGATGTGAGTTCTTTCAACATACAAAGCTTATAAAAAAGATAGGATTTTTCACCAAGCTTAATATGTAATGGGGGACAAACTAGAAGCATTTCCAGTAATATCGGGGGTGAAACAAGGAATTCCATTATCACCACTGTTATTCAATATCGTACTGGAAACATTAGCTTTAGCAATAAGAGAAGAAAAAAAAATTGAAAGTATTAGAATAGACAAAGAAGAAACAAAGCTATCACTCTTTGCAGATGACATGATGATATACTTAGAGAATCCTAGAGAATCAAGTAAAAAACTACTTGAAATAATAAACAACTTTAGCAAAGTTGCAGGCTATAAAATAAACCTACATAAGTCACCGGCATTTCTATATATTACCAACAAAGTCCAACAGCAAGAGATAGAGAAATCCCATTTAAACTTATTGTACACATTATAAAATATTTAGGAGTCTACCTCCTAAAACAAACCCAGGAACTCTATGAACACACTTACAAAACACCTCACACAAATAAAATCAGATCTAAATAATTGGAAAAACATCAGTTGCTCATGGGTAGGCTGAGCTAATATAATAAAAATGACAATTCTACCTAAGCTAATTTACTTATTCAGTGCCATACCAATCAAACTACCAAAAAAATTATTTTATAGAGTTAGAAAAAATAATAACAAAATTCATTTGGAAGAACAAAAGGTCCAGAATATCAAAGGAACTAATGAAAGGAAATGCAGGGGAAGGTTGCCTACGCATTCCAGATCTTAAATTGTATTATGAAGCAGCAATCATCAAAACTGCTTGGTACTGGCTAAGAAATAGAGTGGTGGATCAGTGGAATAGGTTAAATATGCAAGACACAGTAGTCAGTGACTAGTAATCTATTATTTGATAAACCCAAAGACCCCAGCTTCTGGGAAAACTGGAAGAGTATGGCAGAAACTAGGCATGGACCCAAATCTCACACCATATACCAAAATAAAGTCAAAATGGGTTCATGATTTAGATATGAAGGCTGATACTATAAGCAAACTGGGAGAGCAAAGAATAGTTTACCTATCAGATCTATGGAGAACAGAAGAATTCATGACCAAACAGGAGATAGAAAAGCAAAATGGATAATTTTGATTACATTAAATTGAAAAGTTTTTGCACAAACAAAGCCAATATACTAAGATTAGAAGGAAGGTAGAAAATTGGGAAAGAATTTTTATAACCAGTCTCTCTGATAAGGGCCTCATTTCTAAAATATATAGAGAATTAAGTCAAATTTATAAGAATACAAGCCATTCCCCAGTTAATAAATGGTCAAAGGATATGAACAGACAGTTCTCAGATGAAGAAATTAAAGCCATCTATAGGCATATGAAAAAATGCTCTAAATCATTATTGATTAGAGAAATGCAAATCAAAACAACTCTGAGGTACCACATTACACCGATCAGATTGGCCAACATGACGACACAGGAAAATTATAAGTGTTGGAGAAGGTGGGAAAATTGGAAAACTAATGCATTGTTGATAGTGTTGTGAAATGATCCAACCATTTTGGAGAACAATTTGGAACTATGCCCAAAGGGCTATAAAAATGTGCATACCCTTTGACCCAACAATAGCACTTCTAGGGCTATATCCCAAAGAGATCATACAAATGGGAAAAGGACCCACATGTACAAAAATATTCATAGCAGCTCTTTTTGTGGTGGCAAAGAATTGGAAATTGAGAAGGATGTCAGTTGGGGAATGGCTGAGCAAGTTGTGGTATATGAATGTAATGGAATACTATTGTGCTATAAGAAATGATGAACAGGCTGACTTCAGAAAAACCTGGAAAGACTTGTATGGTCTGATTCTGAGTGAAGTGAGCAAAACCAAGAGAGAACTTTGTACACAATAACAGCCACATTATACAATGACTAATATTGACAAACTTAACCCTTACCAGCAATACAAGAATCTAAGACCTCTCCAGAGGCCTCGTGATGGAAAATGCTATCTACATCTAAAGAAAGAACTATGCAAGTTGAATTGCTAATTTTTTTCTCTCTTCCGTTGAGTTTTGTTTCCTCTTTCTGATGGTTCCTCCTGTTTTAATTTTTACTTACAGCATCACTAATGTGAAAATATGTTTAATAGGAATGTAAATGTATAGCCTATATCAGATTGTGTGCCATCTTGGGGAGGGTGGTGGGGAGGAAAGGGGAGAAAAATTTTAAACTCAAAAGCATATGGAAGTGATTATTGATAAATAAAAATAAATTAATAAATTTTTTTTAAAAGATAGGATTTAAGATTCTTTAAAGTATGTTTTAGAATAGAATCATAGGATCATAAATTCAGAACTAGAAGGGACCTCTGAAGCCATCAAGTCCAAACGCCTCATTGGAAGCATTGGAGATTAGGGAGGAAACTAAGGGGAGAGAGATTCAGTGACTTTCCCAAGACCACATAACAAGTAAGTGTCTGAGGCACAATTTTAAACTAAGGTCTTCCTTTTTCAAGTCCAGCACAAGAATGGACTAACAGTAGAAGAGATGAAGTCCTTTGCCTCTTAACTTCCATTTAGGTATTTTCTCATTAATAGAAGTGTGGTATTTAAATATTAGAGTATTTAGCACTTTAAAAATTCAACTGATTTTTGGTTGCCTTTGGATTCTGTGGCCAAAAGCTTAACAAGAACATTTGTTACAGAACATACTTTCTTTGGTGATCTTGTGGCATTTCTTAAAATCAGCTTGTAATATTTTCAGCCCCTTTTTCTATTATTTTTCCTGCCTTGGACATGCTAACCTAAGAGCAGCACTTTCCCAAGGAAGAAATAAAAGAGTACATGTCTTTTGTTTTTAGAATTCTTCATAAATTCTCTGAAAGGTGGTAACCAGGATATGCCCTTTAAAGCTTTTCCTGAATAGCTGAACATATTAATTTAATTTTAATGCCCTTACTCATTTGATTTCTAAGTGTTTATGTTGTTAACTATACCCTACTAAGTAAAAGATCTATTTTTCAGCACCAAGAGCACCAACTAACTGGAGACTAGGCAAATTGCTTGGTCAGGGAGCCTTTGGCAGAGTATATTTATGTTACGATGTTGATACAGGAAGAGAGCTTGCTGTTAAACAAGTTCAGTTTGACCCTGATAGTCCAGAGACTAGCAAGGTAAGAACCATCATATAAAATGTAATTACATCAACACATTTTTAGTGAATTAAATGTAATATGCAGTGGTATTTTCTGCTTTCTTTTAACATAAATTATTTCAGTTCTCCATTGAAAGGTTTTGATATGAATAAATAGAATTCGCTGATCGTTCTAAAATTTTTATAATGTGAATTTTCCTTTTCAGTGAAACAAATGAAAAATCTGATTCATTATAATTTTAACCACTAATCAAGGATAAAGTTTCTGCTATCAAAGGCATTATTTATGGGTGTTTTATAGTGTATTATTTCCCAGTGGATATTTTCAAGCAAACTGCATCATTTTCATCATCTAGATTTGTTATATCACATCTTTTGGCTATAATTGTTCTAGAGATTTAATAAACTTTAGTATAAATTATGTTTCAGGAAGTAAATGCACTTGAGTGTGAAATTCAGTTGTTGAAAAACCTACTGCATGAGCGAATTGTTCAGTATTATGGCTGCTTACGGGATCCCCAGGAAAGAACACTTTCCATATTTATGGAATATATGCCAGGGGTAAGTTAGTAAAACTTTTAAGAAAGTATTTGTTATTCAAGGTATGTCTTCAAATAAAGACCATACAAAAGTTTTAGACCCAGAGTAATCTTTTTGTTAATAAATTGATAGTCTAATGGCAAAGAAAGGCTAGGAGAATATGCAAGCTTAAAGGAAAAGTTAAATGAGTTATATGAGGAAATAGTAAAGCTATACTACTAGGGGACTTCAACTTTCCTCTCTTGGAACTAGATAAATCTAAGAAAAGCTGAACAAGAAAGAGTTAGGAGATGAATAGAACTTTAGGAAAGTTAGATAAGCTAGACCTGTGGAGGAATTTGAATGGGAATAGATAAGGATGCACTTTTTTCTCAGTGGTACATGGCACTCACACAAAAATTCACCCTGTATTAGGGCATTAAAAAACCTCACAACCAAATGCAGAAAAATTAAGTGCATCCTTTTCAGATCATAATGCAATAAAAATTACATTCAGTAAAGGAGTGTGTAAGCCTAATTTAAAATTAATTTAAAAGTACTTAGTCTGCACAGATAGATTTGAAAAAAGTAAAGAAAAAAAGATCTTGTGTCTCTCTCATAAATGAAATAAAGGTCTTTATCACTGCTTTCCCAATGGGACTGTGGTTCTAGAGAGCTGTCTTCATTTTCTCTACCATACACTCGTTGCTGGACTTGCCTGTATCATATGTGCTGCATTACTCAGACTTACCTACCTATAAGCAAAGAAAACTTTAAAGTTAAAAATACAAACCATAAATCCCACAGATCCTAAAATATATAAAGCTACATTATGCCTATAAACTCTGAATTCAGGTCCTAGTGGCTTTCATGGGAAAATGAATTAAAGTGCTGCCCATTTTTTATATAAGAAAAGTGCTTTACTATATATTGCAGCCACCATGAGCATCTCAATAAAGAGCACCACATGCTGCAGACTGTCAAAAAAATTAATTGGAAACTAAATGATGTAATGCTAAAGAACAAATCATAGAAGCAACCTGTAATTTCATTAAAGAAAATGACAGCAATGAGACAACAACATAACCAAAATTTTTGAGATGCAGCCAAAGTAGTGCTTAGGGGAAATTTTGTATTTCTAAATACTTGCATCAACAAAATAAAGAAAAAGCAGATCAATTAATTGAGCATGAAACTAAAAAAAACTAGAAAAATAAATTCTAAATCCCCAGTTAAATACCCAAATTGGAAATCCTGAAAAGCAAAGGAGAGATGAATAAAATTGAAAGAAAAGCATTGAACTAATACATAAAACTAAGAGCTGGTTTTATGAAGGAAAAAAACCCAACAAAATAGATAAACCATTGGTTAATTTGATTTTTAAAATTTTTTTTAAAAGATGAAAACAAATTACTAATATCAAAAGAAAAAGGTGAATTCACACTAGTCAAGATGAAATTAGAGCTATTAGGAACTATTTTGCCCAGTTATATGCCAATAATTCTGACAATGTAAGCAGTGGGTGAATACAAAAATATAAATTGCCCAGATTAACAGAAAGGGAAAATGCATATTTAAATAACACCATCTTAGAAAAAGAAATTGACCTGGCCAGCAGTGAACTCTATAAGAAAAAATTCCCAGGACCAGGTGGATTCACAAATGAATTCTACTGAACATTTAAAGAATAATCAATTTATGATGTCAATTTTAGCTAAAGATTTATCTTTTAACTAACTGTGATTTATTACCACCTAAAGTGTTAGATTAATTAATCAAGTAAGAAAATACTAATAATCATGTCAATAGGGAAAAAACCAGATGTTTAACTATGATGATACAAGGTACAGCTTGTTTTTGGCTATTGCTCTTTGCCTAAGGTTTAATTATCATCATTCTAATTGCAGTAGTCCTCTAGGAGGACTGAAAATAAATACATAGAAATGCTGATGATTTATGAGGGTTTATTTTATATCCTACTGCTTTGCTAAGTGCTATACTTCTTAATGATGTGTCATGTTCTTTTCTCTCTCCCTCTTTTTTTTCTCTCTCTCTCAACACAGGGTTCAATTAAGGACCAGTTAAAAGCATATGGAGCTCTTACTGAGAATGTGACCAGGAAATATACCCGGCAGATTCTGGAGGGAGTTCACTACTTGCACAGTAATATGATTGTACATAGAGATATTAAAGGTTAGGACTAAAGCATTTTCATTTTTAAACATATTTATACCCTATATTTAAATAAATTTATAGAAAGTTTGGGTTTGGTTTTTTTTAAGATTAAAAACAGCTTTACTAGTGAATTTCAGAAGCAGAATTAAAATCTTCAGAATAAAAAAGTCAGTTATGATCAAAAAAGTTATTAGTGCAAAATATTGACCTGCCCATAAAAAGGTAATGTTAGTGATTCTGTACTTCAGGAAATAATAATAGCTTTCTACTTTCCATACCATTTTATGGTTTTTAGTGTGCTTTCCTCACAGCAGCACAAATAAATAAATAGTACAAGCATACTTAAATTTTAGATGAGACAATTGAGACGTAAATCAACAAAATAATTCTCCCAAAGTCACAAGTATGAAGTGTCAGAGGCATAATTGTAACTTGTTAGGTCTTCTGACTCTGAGCCCCAGTCCTTTTAATATGATTGGAACATAATTAGAAAACCAACAGTTAAATCAGAAACCATTTATTAAGCATTTATTATGTGCCAGGCACTCTGCTAAGTGCTGGAGATACAGTGAAAAAGCAAAATGTTCCCTGCCCTAAAGGAACTTTTTCTAATGGAAGAGACAACTTGTGTGTAAATAGAATAGATGGAAGGTTACCATAGAGGGGAAGGGAGAAAGGGAAAGTTCTCATTTAAGCTGAATTTTGAAGGAGAGACATCATCCAAACAGCTCTGAACCAACAAGCTATATACAGGATAAATAGGAAATAGTCAACAGAGGGAAGGTACTAGAATTAAAAGAGATTGGAAAAGGTTTCCTGTAGAAGGTGAGATTTTAGCTGAGATTTGAAGCAAGCTGGAGAAGCCAGGAGGCAGGGATGAGGAAGGGGAAAGTATTCCATGCATGAGGGACAGCCAGTGAAAGTGCCTGGAGTCAGTAGATGAAATATCTTATTTGAGAAAAAAGCAAGGAAGTCAGTGCCACTGGAAGAAAGAGTAGTTGGTGGGGGGAGGGAGAGTATAAAATATAGGAAGACGCGAAAGCTGGGAGCAGGGATGCAAGGACTTTAAACACCAAACAGAGGATTTTATATAATTCACACTGGAGGCAATAGGTAGCCACTGGAGTTATTGAGTAGGATGGTGACATGGCTATACCTGAACTTTAGGAAAATTACTTTAGCAGCCAAGTGGAGGATGGACTGTAGTGGAGAAGGACTTGTAGTGAGCAGACCAATCAGCAAGCTATCTCAGTAATTCATGTGTGAAGAGATTTGGGTGCACCAGGATAATGGCAGTATTGGAGGAGAGATGTTAAAAGGTAAAATTGAAAGGCCTTGGAAACAAATTGAATATGTAAGAGTGAGGACTCAAGGATGACACCCACATTGTGACCCTGAGGGACTAGGAGAATAGTTGTGCCATAGATAGTCATAGGGGAAGTTTGAAAGGGGAGGTGGTTTGGGTGGGGGGATGATTTTGAGTTCAGTTTCGGACATGTTAGGTTTAAGATGTTCACATGACATCCATTTCAGAAGATACAAGATTGGAGGTCAGCAGAGAGGCTAAGGCTCCTCAGCAAAGAGATAATTGAATCTATGCAATCTGATGAGAACACCAACTGAAATAATAGTATAAAGAAAAAGGAGCAGGATTTCCTCCCTTCCTTTTCAGCTTTTTATCTGTTGTCTTCCTCTTAGATAGTGAATTTCTTGAGAGTGGGGACGATTTTATGCTTTTGTTTGAATTCCTACCATTTTTCAGTGCCTGGCACATGGTAGGCACTTAATAAATTTCTCTTGACTCTGACTGTGACTCCAGTGTCTCAAAAATCTAGTAAGAAAAGAGTTTCAAAGAGAAAAGAGTGATTGACAGTGTCAGAGGCTGCAGAAAGTTCAAGAAGGTTAAGGATTTTCTACTTTCTCATGGTTCCTCCCATTGGTTCTAATTTTTCTTTACAACATGATTAATGTGAAAATATGTTTAATATGAATGTAAATATAGAGCCTATATCAGATTGCATGCCGTCTTGGTGAGGGGGGAGGGAAGGAAGGGTAAGAAAATTTAGAACTCAAAATCTTAATGGAAGTGAGTGTTGAAAACTAAAAATAAATTTTTTTAAAAGTTTTCTAAAAAGAGGATCGAGAGAAGTCCACTGGATTTGGCAATTAAGAGATCATTGGTAACTTTAGAGAAAGCCATTTCCATTGAATGATGAGGTCTGAAACCAGATTGTAGGGAGTTAAGAAGAGATTGAGAGGATCTTAAACTATATTACAAAGCTATAATTGTCATAACAGTTTGATACTGGGTAAGAAATAAATTGACCAGGGGAATAGGTTAGGTACATAAATACAGAAGCAAATGAGCATAGTAATTTAATGTTTGATAAACCTAGAGATCCCAGATATTGGGGCATGTTGAATAAAAACTGTTGGAAAAACTAGAAAGCAATGTGGCAGAAACTAAAGTAGTGTACAACATTTCATACCCTATACCAAGAAAAGCTCCAAATGGGAATATGATTTAGATGTAAAAGGTAACATAAGCAGATTAGAAAAGCATAAAAGAAATTACATATCAGGTGTATGAATACAAAGCTCATGATAAAACAAGAAATCAAGAGGTTCAATGGAGGTAAAATTTACAGTTTTAATTACATAAAATTGAAAAGTTTTACACAAAGAAAATCAAACAATGCAACTAAAATTAATAGAAAATCAGGAAATGGAAATCTTTGCAGCAAATTTTTCTAATAAAGGTCTCATTTCTAGACTGTATAGGGAACTGAATAAAATTCCTAAGAATAAGAGCCACTCGTAGGTTGATAAATGGTCAAATGAGATGAATAGAGAGTTTTCAGGGGAAGAAATCAAAGCTATAGGTATATGAAGAAATGCTTTAAAAACATTAAATAGAGAGCTGCAAATCAAAACAACTCTGAGGTACCACGTCAAACCCATCAGATTGGCCAAGTTAACCAAAAGGAAAATGACGTGCAGAAAGGGCTGTGAGAAAACAGGCACTTAAATGTATTATTGGTAGATCTGTGAACTGATCCCACCATTTTGAAACTTATGTCCAAGAAGCTATTAAATTGTGTATATTCTTTGATCCAGCAATACTGCTACTAGGTCTATACCCCAAAGAGATCAAAGAAAGGGGAAGATAATCCATATGTTTAAAAATATTTATAAATGCCCTTTTTTGTGGTAGTAAAGAATTAGAAACTGAAAGGACCATCATTTGGGGAGTGTCTGAGTAAGTTATGGTATGTGAATGTGTTGGAATACTTTTGTGCTCTAAGAAATAATGAAGGGATTGGTTTCAGAAAAATCTGAAAAGACTTAATATGAACTGATGCAAAGTGAAATGAGCAGAACCAGGAGAACACAGTTACAGCAATATTGTAAAGACAGCTCTGAAAGACTTAGAAATTTTGATCAACATAATGACCCACCACAGTTCCAAAGAATTCATGTTGAAACGTTCTGTCCACCTCCAGTTACAGAAGTGATAGACTCAGAGTGTAGATCGAAATATATTTTTTCTTTTCTTTTCTTTCTCTTTTTTTTTTGATATGGCTAATATGGGAATTTGCTTTGCATGATTATACTTATTTGTAATAGGCTTTGTTTTTCTAACCTCAATGAGTGGGGAAAGGGAAGAAAAAAAATTTGGAACTGACAGATTTTTTTTAAAATTAAACTTAAGGAAAAGAAAATATTAAGAGAGAGGAAATGGAGGCATCTGTTATAGATGATTTCTCAAAGAGGTCAGCCAAAAAGGCAGGAGAAATATGGGATGATAGCAGGGGTAGGTGGATAGAGTGAGGGTTTTTTGAGGACAGGGAGACATGGGCATGTTTATAGGCAGTAGGCTAGCAGCAAGTAGAGAGGGAAAGGTGGAATATAGGTAAGAGAATGAGGATGATAGAAGGTCCAGTCTAATAAGAGAAGATCACTTGTGTGTGTAAAGGAGTTTGCTTTGGCAAGGAGAAGGGCCACCTCATCATTTCAGATGGGGCAAAGAAAGCAATCGTGGCAAAAGGCATCCAGGTGATATGAGATAAGGGGAGAAGAGGGAGCTCTCAGCAAATAGCCTTAACTTTTTCAGTAAAATATGACACAAAGTTCTCAGTGGAAAGAAGATGGGAAAGGACCTATGGGAAGTTTAAGGAGGGATGAAGAGTTTTCAAAGAGCCACTGTGGTGAGTAGGACGGTGAGTTAATTAGGGAGGTATAAAAGGATTGACTAACAGTGGTGACAGCCTAGTTGAGGTTGTGTAACGTAAATTTGTAGTGAACTCAGGGTATGGGATACATTCTGTAGCACATGCATCAGAGCCAAGGCAGCAGATGGTAAGAGTGATCTAGAACTAAGGCTTGGCAGGGCATAGTCCAGCAGTGTAATAAGAGGGCAAGAGACTAAAGAAGACAGTATAGAGTTCAACTTATTTACCAAAAAGTCAAGATGGAGAAAAGAGAGATTGGCTAGTGCAGGAGTGATAGCCTACTAGAAAACTGAGAGATCAAGGGACTGAAGGGATTTCTCCACTCATAACAGCCAACCCCCCCAGGTTTGTGGCTCTTTGTGGCTCATGTTCTTCACTTTGGAGGGAGAGCATTTTTAGTACATATAATTTAGCACATATAAAACCAACCATTTTTTGTTTTTATCTCAATGATTATCTAAGATGGTTACAAACAGTAAGCCTATAAAAAAATTAGTTGTTAGACTATTTGACACATTTCTAAACTAATTTTTTCTAAGCATCTTTCTTTTCTTTGAGCTTATGTCTCTAATGTGTGGAAAGCCAAAGCTGTCCAGGTAAAATGCAAAGCTATAACCTCTTCTCCATCTAAATCTATCTCACTCTCAGACTATGTGGCACCGTCTTTAATAAGAAGCATTCACGGAGCACTCATTGTGTGCAGGAAACTATGCTAAACACTGGAAACATAAAGAGGTATTAGATATTTTCCCTGCCCTTCAAGAGCTTAAATTCTAATTTGGAAGTTGGGACATAGACACACATCAAGAGATACAGGGTAGCTTAGGCTAAGTGACAAATAAGTGGCACAGATGGTAATTGCAGCAGAGTGAGTTAAGCTGGTCAGTGAAGTTCAGACTCCCAGAAGAGGTAGCACTATAGGATTTGAACTTATTCAAGAATTTAGTGAAGAGAAGGAGACAAAGCCTTCCAAGCATTGAAAACAGTGTAAACAAATTCCAGTGAAATTAGTCTGGCTGCTTCTAGGTATATAAGCTATAGGTATCCAAAGAGATCACAAAAATGGGAAAAGGACTCACATGTACAAAAATATTTATAGCAGCTTTTTTTGTGGTGGCAAAGAATTGGAAACTGAGGGAATGCCCATCAATTGGCTGAACAAGTTGTGGCATATGAATGTAATGGAACACTATTGTGCTATAAGAAATGATGAGTAGGCAGACTTCAGAAAAACCTGGAAAGACTTGTATGGACTGATGCTGAGTGAAGTGAGCAGAACCAAGAGAACATTGTCACAGTAACAGCCACATTATGCGATGACTAACTTTGATAGACCTAGCCCTTCTCAGCAGTGCAAGGATCTAAGACATCTCCAAAAGTCTCATGATGGAAAATGCTATCCACATCCAAAGAAAGAACTGTGGAGTTTGAATACAGATCAAAGCATACTATTTGCTATTTTTTTCCCTTCTGTTTGTTTTGTTTCCCCTTTCTTTTTTTTTTCTTTTTTTCTTCCCCTTTCTTTTCTTTTTAGGCAATTGGGGTTAAGTGACTTGCCCAGGGTCACACAGCTAATAAGTGTCAAGTGTTCAGTCTGAGGCCAGATTTCAACTCGGGTCCTCCTCCTGACTTCAGGGCCAGTGCTCTATCCATTGCACCACCTAGCTGCCCTATGATTCCCTCTTCTTACCAGACTCTTTTTGCATTACTCTCCCTTATAAAATGTATGTTCCAGCCAAACTAATTCTTGTTGTCTCCCATACATTACATATAACCCTTTGCTGGCTGTTCTCTATATCAGAAATGTATTGTGTCCCCACCTATGCCTCTTAGAAGAATTAGCTTCCTTCAAGGCTCAACTCAAGTTTGTACCAAGGGCCTATTGTGACACCAGTTTTGTGTGCTCTTCTTCTTCGCAATGGGGTTAAGTGACTTGCCCAGGGTCACACAGCTTGTAAGTGTTAAGTGTCTGAGGCCAGATTTGAACTCAGTCCTCCTGACTTCAGGGCCGGTGCTCTATCCACTGCACCACCGAGCTGCCCCTTATTTGTGCTTTTCTTACAGTGTACATATTGTTTCTCCCCATTAAGGACGTAAACTCCTTGAGAATAGGAGCTGTTTGTTTCCTTTTTGTTTTTGTATCCCCTGAACCTAGCACAGTGTCTGGCCCCTGCATTCTCTGTGGGCAGTTCCATTGGTGGGGAACCTACAGCCTCAAGGCCACATGTGGCCTTCTGGGTCTTTGGGTGTAGACTTTTGACTGAGTCCAAGTTTTATGGAACAAATCCTTTTATTAAGGGGATTTGTTCTGTGAAGTTTGGATTCAGTCAAAGGGTCGCACTTGAGGACCTAGAGGGCCACATGTGGCCTCAAGGCCACAGGTTCCCTACTCCTGGGCAAGTCACTTCACCTCTCTAGACTTCACTTCCTTCTTTTGTTAAATGTGGTCTGTTGTGTCTATTTTATTCTATTGTGTTGTAAAGTATTATTAAGATTACAACTCAGACTTCCATGACTTGGGAAGAGATTTCAGATCATGATTTTCTTGCCCTCCCTATCAGATAATGGTTTTGCCAATTCAACAATGTAGAATTTCTGTTATTTCTCTTTTTCTCACTTTATCTCTCTACATATATAGACCTGCTACCTTGGAAAATTAATCTTCCTGCCAGCAAAGTACATGCATGCTGGAAAACAAACTTTATTGGAAGACTAGTCAGTTTGTTAGGCTATGGAGAATCTAAGGGAATTTAAAAGGCAGAGATAAAGGGCTGAATCTCTATGAAAATTAAGCTGCTGCTTCTTGTAAAAAGAGCACTAATTCTTCCTCTTACTAGTTTTTATAACCTTAGACAAACTTTATTCTGGGCCTAATCTGTAAAATGAGTTAATTGGATTAGATTATCTCTAAGATTAGATAACCCCTTTCTACATTGATATTCTTATGACTATGAGCTTATTGGTGGAATTTTTTTTAACAAGAGAATTTAAATATGGTTTTGTCCCATTAAAAGGACTTGCAAAGACCATAATAAGATAAACAATAATACTAAAAAGCACTTGAATTTTTATTGTAACATAATATATCATAATGAACAGTCTTGGGCCAGGCTTGGTAACACATGTCTGTAATACCTGATTCAGTGGGCTAAGTTTATCAAGGGGATATGATTCTGTTTCTGTTCAAGAGGGAGGAAGAGTTGGGCTTGTGAGCCACCAGGAGTCCAGGGACCACCGGGCATCCTAAGGAGGGACCTACTACCCTATGTCAGAAAAAGAGCAAGGCAAAGCTTCCATGATTATCAGTAATTGATCATGTCCGTGAGTGGTGCACTTCCATCCTGGGCAAGACAGAGAGACAGTAATACATCATCATCATCATCATAAAGTGTTGGACCCCGAAAATAATAATGAAACACAACTTCCTCTTCTCTAAAGAGAGGTAGAGACCACCAATGGGGAATTAGGTATATACCAAAAGATATATTTTCTGTATCAGTTGGCTTTGATTAAATGTAATTGTGGTGGTTCTGGGTCATTACAAGGAAATAAGAAATAGAAATAGATAACATTTGTAGCTAACAAAGAAGGGTTCAGTAATTAAGGGGAAATAAAGTAAAAAAATAAGAGGCAACAATAAAATTTCAGAAAATAAAAGGATTCATTGGTATTGTTTCTTGTAAGTTTACTAGAGACCTACCTGTAAAAATTAATTGATTGATGGGGCAGCTAAGTGGCACAGTGGATAGAGCTCTGGCCTTGGAATCAGGAGGACCTGAGTTCAAATCTGGCCTCAGACATGTAAAACTTACTAGCTATGTGACTCTGGACAAGTCACTTAACCCTGATTTGTCTCACCAAAAAGCAAAACAATAATAATAATGATAATCGATTGAAAGGATTTGTTTTTTACTTTACAGGAGCAAATATTCTTCGAGATTCAGCAGGAAATGTGAAGCTGGGGGATTTTGGTGCCAGTAAACGACTTCAGACAATCTGTCTTTCTGGTACAGGAATGAAGTCTGTCACAGGCACACCATACTGGATGAGTCCTGAAGTCATCAGTGGGGAAGGTTATGGCCGAAAAGCAGATATCTGGTAGGTTTTTATAAGCTACATTTCAATGAGTTGTTACTGCTATTTCCATCTTCCTACCAACAAACCAAAGTTAGTAAAGCCTGGTTTAAATTCTTTTGTCCTGCAGCAGCTGGGTGGCACAGTGGATAGCATACTAGCCCTACAGTCAGGAGGACCCGAGTTCAAATGTGGCCATAGATACTTACTAGTTGTGTGACCCTGGGCAAGTTACTTAACCCCAGTCACCTCCCCCTCCAAAAAAATTTCTTAGTAAGATACTCTTGGATACTGTAACTCCTAGAAATATTTACTTTTTAACTCTACCTCATGCTTCTATAAATCTGCCAAATGGTCCTATGTCTAAAAAGTATATTGAAAGATTTGAAGTTTTCTGCTTTAGAAGTATGATTAATCTACTCATGCATATTCTTTCCCTCCACCTTCCCCTCCTTTCACATATTAGGGAGGTATTTTTATTTAAGGTGTCTTAGTAGAAGGTAAAGGGAGAAAAGTGACTAATTTGACCGTACTTGAAAAATCTCTTTCCTATAACACATGTATAAAAACTGTCCTTGACCCTGGGAAATTAACCTGTGTTTAAAGATATTAAAGAAAAGTCGCAGTCCGGTGGAGACTGGCTTTTTTTAAATAAATTTTTCAATTAAGCATCTATTTTCTCCCCCTTCTACCTCCCCTGTCCTCATAGAAGAAAGAAAAAAAGAAAAAGAAAACCCTGTAACACATATGCATAATCAAACAAAACAAATTTCCATGCTTTCGGTGGTAGGATTTATCTGTTCAGTGTGGCATTTCTAACACTCCTAAATCTCTTCACACCCCATTTCTAATTGTCCTTCCATTCTTGATGGTAGGATCCTAGATATAGAGCTGAAAGGGACCTGAGGGACCATCCAGTCTGGCCCCCTCATTTTAGATGAAGAAAATGAGGCCTAAGTTTGTTAAGCAACTTGCACTGATTGCATGGAAGACTCTTTGTGGTTACTACTAGACAGTATAGCATCATAATGGTGATGCATTATGTGAAAAGACATGATGTTTAAAATGATTCTAAGAAATAGACTAGTTTCCCTGAAGCCTGGCTTTTACGGAATTTTTACCTTTTTTCTAGTAAAAAATTCCATGACCAACAACAACTGCTATGATACAACATAAAATTACCTTCCTCTCCTTTACATCTAGAAAAGATTGTAGTAGACATTCATTTTTTAAAGGGTTTAGAATCAAAGGGGAAGGGCATTTTGTTCTTGGTCAGCTAGGATTAAGCACCTATTGTGTACTAGGCACTGTGCTAAGTACTGGGGATACAAAGAAAGGCAAAAAACAGGCCCTACTCTCAAGAAGCTTACACTCTAACGGGAGAGGGAAACAGACAACTATGGTTCAGACAAAATTAGATATAGATATGTGATAAATGGGGGATAATATCAGAGGGAAGTCATTAAAAGTAAAGAGACTAGAAGAGGTCTCTTATAGAATGTGCAATTTCTGCTGAGATGTGAAAGAAACCAGAGAAACTAGGAGACAGAGAAGAAGAGGATAGTGTTCCAGGCATAGGAGATAGCCAATCAGAATGCTCAGAGTTGGAAGATGAAGCTTCTTGTGTGAGGAACATTAAGGCCATTGTCACTGGGTTGCAAAGTATCTAATGGGAAGTAAAAGTGTAAGACTGGAAAGGTAGGAAAGAACTACATTTTAAAGAGCTTTGAAAGCCATACAGTGGCTTTTTATAATTGATCCTGAAGGGAATCACTGGGATTTATTGAATTTGGAATGGGGATGATATATGGTCAGACCTGTGTTTTAGAAGATAATTTGACAGCTGAATGAAGAAAGACTAGAGTAGAGAGAGAGATGAGATAGGGAAACTATTTAGGCATGACTATTTCAATAGTCCAGGCATGAGGTGATGAGAGCCTGCACCAGGATGGTAGCAGTATCAGAGGAAAGAAGGGGGTATATACAAAGGATATTGTTAAGATGGAAACAACAGGACTTCATCACTAATTGGGGATGAGGGAAGAGGTAATAGAGTGAAGAATTAAGTGTGATACCTAGGTTGTGAGCCTGGGTAATTGAAAGGATGGTAGTACATAAACAATAATAGGGAAATTAAGAAGAGTACAGGGTTTGGGGGAAAAGCTAATGAGTTCATTTTTGGACATGTTGAGTTTAACATGTCTGTATGGGACATCCATTTCAAGATGTCTAAAAGACAGTTGGAGATATGAAAGTAGAGGTCAGGAGAGAGGTTGGAGCTAGACAAGTAGATCTGAGCATTGTGTTTGCATAGTAATGGTGCGTGTAACTGAAACAGTGGGTAACTGAAAACCATGACAGCAACAAATGCAATAGTATAGAGAGAGAAGATGAGTTTAGGACAGAACTTTGGGGGACTCCCATGGTTAGTGGACATGGCCTAGATGAAGATCCAGCAAAGGAGACAGAGATGATGAGATCAGATAGGTAGGAGCAGAATTAGAGAGCAGTCACAAAAAACAAGAGAGAAGAGAATATCAAGAAGATATGAGGGTGATTGACAATCAAAGACTGGTCAAGAAGGATGAAGATGTTAGGTTTGGCAATTAATTTGGCAATTAGTAGTAACTTTGGAGAGTCTGTGACTAGACAGAACAACAGTTAATACAGATTAGCTGGTCTGGTATTTAAAAAATAAGATTTCTAAATTAGAACATAATTTTCTCCACCAGTTGAAATCCTGTCTATCCTTCAGGGCTCTCTTTACATCTTAAGTCTTCCATATAGCCTTCCCAGATCTTCCCTCTGCCAAAGAAATCCCTTCTTCTCATAGCATTTTGTATCTTTTGTGCATATTCATACCCTTTTATTATACCAATTTACATATGTATCTATAAATTCCTTAAGGAAAGAGATCATGTCTTATTTAGCTTTATATCTTTCTTAGCACCTAGCATAGTAGGCATTCAATATATGTTTATTGAATTAATTATGGATAGCATTTAGGGCAAGTAGTACAGTTAATCATTATATAAAGGCATATTTTAATACCCACATACATTCCCACAATACTGCATTAGGGAGAATATTCTAAATGCAAATCAAGTTCTAATTGTAGCAGATTTATTGTTGGAAGGTTTTTTTTTTGGTTTTGGGGGGTTTTTTTAGGCAATTGGGGTTAAGTGACTTGCCCAGGGTCACACAGCTAGTAAGTGTCAACTCTTTGGTCTGAGGCCTGATTTGAATTCAGGGCCGGTGCTCTATTCACTGCGCCACTATTGTTTTTTTTAACTCTAAATATGTAGTTCTGTTGGGCTATGCAGTCAGTCTAAATAATCAATTTTCGCTTTTTTTTTTTAGGAGTGTGGGCTGTACTGTAGTAGAAATGCTAACTGAGAAACCACCTTGGGCTGAGTTTGAAGCAATGGCTGCCATATTTAAAATTGCTACTCAGCCAACCAATCCAAAGCTGCCACCTCATGCTTCAGACCATAGTCGAGATTTCCTCAAGAGGATTTTTGTAGAGGCCAAATTGAGACCATCAGCTGATGAACTCTTAAGGCACATGTTTGCGCATTACCACTAGCACTCAGTGCTAGTCAGTGCCTCTCCCAGCTCAGACCTACTGCATTTACCTTCTCTCTAACTGCACTTTTTTCTTTTTATAAAGAGAGAAAGAGAAAAAAGAGGAAAGAAAAAAGAGGGAAAGTATTTCTCTTGATTCTTGGTTTCATTAATTTGTCTAAAAATAATCTCAAGTTTTTTATATTTAGAATACTTCTCCCCTATCAGGACTTGAATTTTTTTTTTATAATGTACTGATGTGATTCTCAGAGATAAAAGCACTTTAGTACATATTCATCATTATTTAAAAAAAAAAGCAACAAAGAAACTATAAAATTCTTAAAGATAAGATAGCCTTTTCTCATACTCCTGACGCATTTTTGGTGAGGGGGAGATGGAAAAAGATAAATAAAATTACTTCTAATTTCCATTATTTAGTGATAGTAGTTAAAATAGATCCGCACGCCTGGGGTTGAGCCCCAGAATAGATTAGATTGCTGATAGACTTAAATAATATAGACTTCATCATGAGTGTGTATGCCCTGCCATATCCTAGCTTCTGCCTGCCACTCCTTTTGCTGAAAATACATCTTGATGTAAAATATAAGTTTCTAAGAGGTATGTTTACTTAACATACTTAACAACTCTCAGAGAGCCAGAATTATAGGTAAATACACTATAATAGATCCATTTTTCGGGAGAAGACAAAGCTTAAGAGATAACCCTCTAGTGAAAAATGAAGTCATGCTACTATATTTTTAAACATATGGAAAGTCAGCAAGAAATTCTGTTAAAAGCAAAATGTAAGAGGAAAATGTTTTTCTTAAGTGATGTGAACGGACAAAATTATAAGAGACATCCAATGGGGTAGTCAAAAGGAATAGTAAAAGGACAAAAAACTGTTCAGTATTTTTTGTTTTACTCTGAGGGGAAAAAGGCCTCCAATTAATTGAAAATGGAGATGAACTGAAAACAGTCAAAAAGATACATACCTTCTTCCTTTCTTTAGCTACCACTTCCTTGTATATAGCATTAAATACCATCCAGTCTAGGGGGACCCATGCTTTGAAGGTCTTGATTGTCTTGGCAGAAAATAAAAATCATGCCTTCGTGGTCATATAAAAAGCAATAATGCACTTGGGGGGGAAAAGCATATAATCTCAAGAGTTATTCAATTGTGTACCTAAAAACAACAATTGAAAAAGATCTCTTGCAAAGAGGTAATACCTGAACTTCAAGAAATATTCACAAATTTAGCACAAGGATTGTCCAATAGCAATTACCATTACTTCAGAACAAGTGATAAATGTCCCAGAAAATAGAAAACCCTTTTTCCCAGCTGCACACTGCATCCGAATCACTAATCATTCAGCTACAGAACTGAAGTGGAATGGGTAGAAACTTGTATACTGTCTTCCAACCTCAGATGTGAAGAAAATAAAATTTAATGTTTTCCATTTATCATGAAGGACCAAGAAATTCCAGGTCGCATGTGTTTTTGTAATGATGGAGGAAGTGAAGTTTCTCCCTAAGAACACGAAATGGAATATGAACTTTTTTAGACCCCATGGTGTACTGCATTGCAAATGAAAAATAAGCAAGATTTCAGTAATTTGGCTGCTCATGTTTCTTTACTGTGAATGGGAAGGAAAAAAGTATTTCCCACCTCAAGGTTTTGAATTTGATTATTCACATGGGGCCCATGTATTAATAGTATTATTCCTTCTAATAAGGTATGTGTTTTTAAGGATTCTTTAAAAATAATTTGTTACTGAAACCATTTTAACAGATATAGGTACAATGAATGCAAGGCTCCTGCATAGCATACTGTGCAGGATTATTTGCAGTTGATATTCTCAGAAGAAAAAAAGCACAGGTAAATTGCCAAAGCTTCTTTTGTGTTCGGAGAATCGGCAGAAGCAGGCAGCAGAAACTAAAGAAAATGCAAAATATTAAGACAATGCCGACAGTTATTCTGAGAATTCATAATTGGAGGGGAAGGAGTAGAGAATGTTGGCTTAGTATACTATGTGCCAGAAACAAACCCCAAGTGTGTGGATCTATTATAATCTATTTACCTTTGGTGAGTAGTTCAGTCTTTTCTACTCAATCACTGTCATAGCATATGGACCAGCAAAATTTCCTTTTGTCTCCTTTTATCGTGATTCCCCTTTGTTTCATTTTTGGTCTGTCAGGGTAACCAGCAGTGCAAAGTATGGGACAAATGACTTTTACATAGAAATCCTGGGAGACTGTGTAACAATAACAACAAAAAAGCAAAATGATGTTCCATGTGTTCTCTGTCTCCTTGTCCTAGGCTAAAAGATATAAAAAGCAAGCATGGGGGGGGGGGGGAGTCCTTCTTTCCTACTGCTGCAGAGGACCTTTGCTTTATAAGCAAATTTTTTTTTATTAGAGCTGAATATAGGTGGGGGAGGGAAGGCAATATGCTTTATGTAAAGATTGTTTTTAAAATAGACATAGTTTACATAGGTATCCTATAAAATGTGTATCTGAATTTATTGATTTTAAATAGGTTTGAAGGTACCAAAAACCAAGCTGAAAATGAGCAAATATGGAGACATTGGTTTAAAAAAAAATGCCCATTGGTAGCTAGAACATTAATAGAGAGAGAGAGAGAGAACCAAAAAAGAATTTCAAAGGAAGAGCCTATATCAGGTGTAACTACAGCACTCCAAGATTTAATATTATTTCTTCCTATTAGATTATGATGTGGGGCGGCAAATTAAATTGCACTCTGTGAAGGTTGGATTTTTTTCAGAAACTAGTCTCTGATTTTATCCTGTTTTTAAATGCACAACTTTTTTCTATACTATAATATTTCTTTGCTGCAGCTGGAAAACAAAAATTGCTTAGACTGCTGCTTTTGTGCCTTTTAAAAATGCATTCTGTCTTGGCAATGGCAGACATGTTTGGTGCTGGAGAAGGTTCACTTGCAGTCTTTCATATGCTTTCCAGAATATCTAGCTCTTCCTATTTATATCACATATATGTTTGTGTATATATATGTGTGTGTGTATATGCATGTATATACACACACATATGATATAAATAAAATTAGGCTGTGAGAATATTGGTGTTATGACTTTGCCCTGGGCTAAATTCAGGACTACTATACTGTAGGTATAATGTGCTGAATAAGAATGTCACAAAATAAGGGGAAATGATGTGGGCTATATTAGTTACTATGAATTACTATATAATACCCTGATATTTTTTTAACATGTTTAAAAGGCAGCATATTTAGGTCTCATAATTTCAGTATGGCCTCTCACAAAATATCAGTAAACTTTAACTTACTGATTTTTTGTTTTAAACAGAGACTACTACATAAGGCATTTTTTAAAACTTTTTCATTTATAACTTAAATTATAAAATACTAATGCAAATGGAGAAATGGAAAAACACAACAAAAACATATTTCATAATGAATTGGGCAGCTCAGATACTCTCATTAACATCTTCATGACAAATCCTATATAAAGGAAGATAATTTTAAAAAATTTTTTTCTCTGTACTGGCTCTCTACCACCAAATTTTCTAGTCAGTGGAATGTTCTTTAACAGCCTAAGCAATGTATAGCCAGGTCCTCTCTCAATACTTTGAAAATACCCTCAAAATCTCATACATTATGTCTTATCTACAGTCTTCATTAGTTATTTTTCAGTCATGTCCAACACTTGGTGACCCCATTTGGGTTTTTTTTTTTGGCAAAGATACTGCAGTAGTTTGCCATTTCCTTCTTTAACTCATTTCACAGATGAGGAAAGTTAGGCAAACAGGGTTAAGTGACTTGCCCAAGGTCACACAACTATTATGTGTCTGAGGCCATATTTGAACTCAGGAAGATGAGTCTTCCAGACTCCAGATCTGGCACTCTATCCACTGTGCCACCTAGTCTTGGTTAATTAGTTCTTAAACTTTGCAGTTCTTACACTACTAAATCGTTTTGATGTGATCAAATACTTTTCATGGGATCATAGTTATAGGGTTAGAAGGAATTTCTATAATAAATGCCAATGCAATGGGTAGATAAAATCAGGATTCATTAGACAAATGGTAGACTTTGTTCCTTAGAGTTCTACTAGAATTCATTGACTTCATTTTGGCCTTGGAGCTTATTGCTGTAAATTCATTAAATTGTCATTAAGGATATTTAACTGTCATTTTTTTGTGTGGGAAGGATCAGTTTTATTTTTCTAGCCATATCTTTTTAAAAGCACGGAATTAACCTGTGTTGTGATCATTTTGTTAGTATTAATTAGCAGGATTGAGTTTTTTTCCCCCAAACACATTTTAAATTGTGGGCAGTTATTAAACCTTAAAAATTAGGCTGGGTACAGTTGCTGAAAACTCAGATTATTAGTGTCAGGAACTAGAGTGATGGAATTCCAGAGCTCAATCAGATCTTAGAGGTCAACCAGTCAAAATTTACTTTTAGTACAAGTTCCTTTAGGGCAGGGACTATATCTTTCTGATCTTGTATTCCCCCTCAGCACTTAGCACAGGGCTTTCTAACTAATAGGTACAATAAATATTTGTTGAATAGAAGAAACTTATGCAATGTACATGACAGGCAGTTGTTCACCCAGCCCATGCTTAAATACATAAAGTAATGAAGAACATTTATTTTTGGAAAAATGAGGTTGGTTTTTCTCAAAAGGATTCTTTTGAAACTCATTTCATCTAACTTATTTAATAATCAAACATTTGGAAGGAGCTAAAAATCTAGTATTCTGGGAGGTTCTATTTTCATCATAAAATTTAAAAGTTTGGACAGCTTAGTTCTAGAACTAATATATTTATTTAGTTTGAAGTTTTGGTTTCAGGTGAACATTGAAGAAATTTAATTGTTAACTTTTTGTTAGTACTTTTGTATGTTCTAATTTTCTTTTATGTCAGTGATCATTCAAATTATAAATCAGATGTGCAGATAGCTTTACAAAATTGCAAGACCACAGCAGTTTATTTGGCCACAAAATGAGAATTGGCCTTTGTCCATGCTTCCTAATGCCTCCCCTCCCATATTTCCTCCTCCCTTTTTATTATATTGCTAAGCAGGAAACACTAGTCTTTTTAAGAGACACAATCTGCATTTCTCATACCCAAAAGATAAAAAATAAGAGATGAAATATAAATTGTTTCAGATCAACTGCTTTTCAATTACATTTGAACCTCTCAGGTTTTAGGTAGATCATAGGTCGCTGTTTATTTCCCATAGCTGAGCTAAATATTTTTACCTAAGAAGTTAAGTATCTGTCAATATTTTAAACAGTATGAAGAGGGCTACAAATTGAGAATAAGAGATCCCTATCAATCAATCACCAAGTATTTATTAAGCACCTATTATGTGCCAGGCACTTAGTATACTAGGTGCTGGAAATACAAGTACAAAGAATGAAAAATTTCCTACTCTCAAGGAATTTATATTCCATGTTCTTTGACTGATAATTGTGCATGTGCCACTGATTATATAGCTTACATGTCTGTAAAGCAGGGGGAATTGGGATTAGGGGATAGAGATTTGAATGTCAGGCTCCACGATAAAGCATTTTAGACTGAATTACTCAGTACCACCCGTTCTCACTATTAGAAAAATACATTAAAAATATGCCATACTAATGGTGTATGAATAAAATTGTCTCCATGGAGGAAAGTCAACTTATTTCTACAAATAATTGTAAAAGCACTAGTTTAAAAAAAAAACTACATAAAGGTATTGAAAACTGCCAATTCTGGATTGCTGAAAGTGGATGATTTTTAACCAGAGCTACTTAGACATACTGTCATGTGACCCTGGGCAAGTCACTCTGTGGCGCAAGGCAACTCTCTTAAGTCACTGAGCAGGTGCTGATCAGCATTGGTAGAGGGAATATCTTCACTGTGAGTACCTTCCACCAGTGAAATCGCACGTGTAGGAAAGAGTTCATAAGACATCATGGTATAATGGAATTCTCACACCAAGTTGGGAATTAAGAGAAGTATATTATTGTTCCAATGCCTACACTAACTCACTGTTTCCTTTGCAAGTCACTTGATTTCTCTGGACTTTTTTTCTTCATCTGAAAAATGATGGGGTTGAATCAGATGATTGATAAGCTCCTCTGTAGCTTTAATAGTCTTTGCTCTTCATTACATTAGGTTACATATCATTCATGGACTCTTTGGAATAAAACAACAAGTTTATTAGCTTATTCATTGCAGTTCATAAGGAAATTTCCTTATGTTTTTAGCAGGTTAGGGAAATGACATAATGAAACCCTGTTCCCAGCTAATTGAATTGTCATGGTTTAACTTAAGAGATTTAATAGAACTATTTTATCTGCAGTAGAGCTCAAGAATTTATCTCAATCTTTTTAAAATTTCTTACAAATTTGTTCACATTTTCCATATTTGCACATTTAAATTTAAATCCATATGGTATTTTTGTTAGGAAAAGCAAAGGTATTAAAACCAGTAATGTACCTGATGACTAGTAACTTGGTTTATATTCATGATATGCATTGTCAAAATCACTTTAAACCAAAGCTTTTATAACCTCTGTAGACAGAGCCATACAAGTTGTTTCATAAACAATTAGCACACCTGTAAGGCCAACCAATAAGTTGTTTTTTGGTTTTTTTTAATGTGGGACAAAACAGGTAGGTACTAGTGGAACTTCTCTCAGTCCATCCTTTCCATCCTTTTAGAGGACAATGTTTCATGTTCATTCTTTAGATGTGCAGATTCTCTCCAGCATTTAAGAAACTTTACTTACTTGGATAAACATTAGCTCACCTAAGGTGAAATTGCATTGACATGATTCAAATATATTATGCTTCAGCTTCAAAGAATGCTCTCTAGTGTCTTAAAATTGTGAACTTCTGTTTCATTTGAGGGGCATTTCAGGCAAGCTGTGAAGATAAAAATGTTTCATGGACTGACCTTGTGCCATAAATAAATATATTTTTGAATTTGAGAAGTAATCCCTTTTTTACATAATGTAAAAATTGATTGTGCTCTTGAGTCCATGTGCAAAATTTATCCCCATACTAGAATTCTAGAGAGACAATTCTAGCCAATAAGTGTAACAAAAAGCACTTTTATTTATAATTTTTTTTTTGATGCAAACAACAATTGATGGTACTGCCATTCATAACATGAGGGTAGGAGGAAAATATGTTAGCAGAATTACATGTTGAACTCTCTTAGAAAATTAGCCTCTGTAAGATGATTTTGACTAGCTCTTGATATGTTCTCATTTTTCCAAAGATTCCTACCCCTGCCCCTGCCCCAAGAAGAAAGCAAAAGGAAAAAAAGTCAGCTTTTGAGGGGAAAGATATTAGGGTAAGACAGAGTGGTCCAAAGCCTTGCGATATCTTGTGCAAATACAAGTACAGCATCTAAAAAGTTAGAAATTGTTCATTTCCATATAGCTATCTTTAATAAATAAAATGTTTTTAGAAGTATGTGAGAGGTTTACATTTCCATTTACCTTGGTTTTAAAATTTTTATGTCCTGTAGTCTTATATCTAAAACAGTTAATACCAAAAAATACTTCTAATGTCTGACATCTCTTATTTGTCACATGGTTCTTGTTCAGATATCATTGTAAATAAAAAACTCAGATAAGTTTGAAAGTAGACTTATAATTGTCACAAAAATATGAATACACTCTTGTAAATTTACCCTTTAATCTAATGTACATTTTTTAATGTAACCATTAACTTCTATGTATTTAATCTATGTTTCTCTCTGTAAATGTTTCTAATCTCAGTTGAATGCTGGGCACAGTTTGTAATGTATGTACAAAGATGTTTTTTTCTATCAACGTTGACTTTTTTGCACATTTTGGAAATGTTTAATTTGTACACTGATTTACTACTCTGACCAATAATTATATAAGAGTGTATGAGAACCATGTATGAGTGCATTGTACTACTGTCTGTATGTATGTTTAAAATTCTTTTGAGGTGTAGCTATCAGTAACTGCACTGCTCTTGCTGATTTCAGTGGGATTTCTTGCTTTTAAAAAAAGTGTAATTTGTGTATGGTCCTATCTTGGTTGAAGAACTCAGGAGTTCAGCATTATTTTCTAATTCCATGATATATTCTAAAAACCATTTCCAAGAGTATATGTGTAACTCTGTATGCATCAGAGATGTGTGTATATGTGTGTATGAATATATGTATATATATATATATATCCCAGTAATTTCTTATTTCAGTTTCATTTATACATTTTTATGAAATTGTTTTTTAAGGGTACTATGTTTAGTTAGAATAAATATATAAAAGCTTTCTGAGAGATAATTTACTAGATAAATATATTTTCAGCTGGCTGATGTTCAGAAAATATTTTTTTAATTTTGTTTTTAACCATTCAAAATGTATTTGTATTTCCAAAATTGGACACAAATTGTACTTAGAAATCTGTTAAAACACTCTTGCAAGGAAGAACAGTGAATTCTCTTGTAAGGATTTTGTGAAGTTTAAATATAAAGAAAATACACTGTCTCCACTAAAAGCTAAAAGCAGCCTTTGAAGTCCCAGAGCTATGAAAAAATTTAGAAAATGTAATCCATCTTGAAAAGATGTTTAGATGTTTGTATCTGCTAGCTTGTCCATTGTTCCTTTTGAATGTTTCCCTTTTTTTTTCTGCCAAAAATGGACATTTCCATTTCAAGTTTTGCTTCACATTGGGCAAGGTTAGAATGGCTCTATGACGTGATATATTGATATATCGTG